TAACAGGCACGATCAGAGGATCAACAAACACTGGGAGCTTCCTGTTTCCAAGTTGGAAGGGACCTTATAAATAAACAGCCTCATCCAACACCCCACTCATTGCACAGATCATTTCCAACGCTCCTGCCATTGGTTGTCCTGCCGCTGTTGGGAATGAATGAGAGGCACCCTTCCCCCCACACCTATGACGTGCCAGGTTCTGTGCTAGGCATCGCCCGCCCATCTCAAGTGGTCCCCCGTGGACCACTATAGTTGGTCCCTATAGTCGGACACCCTATAGTTGGCTAGTTATGGGACAACGTACACTTTGTGGTAGGTGCTAGTGCTGTTTCTGAGGCTGGACAGACCTGGGTTTAAATCTTTCCTGCCAGATGTGTGGGCCCCTCTGAGCCTCAGTTTCCCCATCTATAACTTGGGGATAACAGTCACACAACTTTATAGGTTAATGAGACACAAGGTGCCTGACACATGGACATGCTGGCCTTTATTAGAATGATCATCTTCCCCACCTTGTAGATAGAGAAAATAAGGCTCAGAGAGGTGGGGCGACTGCCCGGCATCACCCAGCCAGCAAGGAGCTGCACTGCCCAAACCCAGAGGCCTGCACGCTCGGACAGCCGCGTGTCAGGGTCTCCCGAGAGCTAATCCCTGCGCCCTATTTCAACCCCACTGGCTCTGAATTTCTGGGCTAGAATCCACGTGGGTTGTTTTGTTTTGTTTCGTTTTGAATTTTTAGTTTTAGAGAGAGGGGAAGGGAAGGAGAAAGAAAGAAAGAAAGAAGGAAGGAAGGAAGGAAGGAGAAAAAGAAAGAAAGAGAGGGAAAGAAGGAAAGAAAGAAGGAAGGAAGGAAAGAAAGAAAGAAAGAGAGAAAGAAAGAAAGAGAGAAAGAAAGAAAAGAAAGAAAGAAAAGAAAGATCAATGTGTGGTTGCCTCTTGTGCGCCCCCGCTGGGGACCTGGCCTACAACCCAGGCACGTGCCCTGACTGGGAATCCAACTAGCAACCCTTTAGTTCCCAGGCCCTTGCTCAGTCCACTGAGCTACACCAACCAGGGTATAATCTGTGTTTTTAAAAGGCTCCCGGCCCTTTCAGAGGCTGCTGGCCAGGTGTCTAGAACCATTAGCCTGTAGCTTCTCTTCTGCAGGGCACACTGTGGGGGGCGGGGAACTGGCTGCCTCCAGGGCAGGCTGGTGCACGCAGGTGGGCTGTTCCTCAAGTCCCGAAGCCAGAGCAGAAAGAACGCGTCTCCCTTGGGTAAGTTACCCAAGGTTTTCCCCGCAGTGCTCACCCCTGAAGAGCTGGGGGCTCCCCACCCTCCCGCACTGGCACTGGCCCAGAGGGTCATTTATTAGGTGCTGAGAGCAGTGGCCCCATCACACACCTGCCACAGGAGCCTGGACTTCCCCCTGAGCCCCAGCAACCCCAGGACCTGTAAATCATTGATCCAGGCCCTACCCCCCCCACCCCCGCCCCGCCACTCTCACGCATCTCCCAGCCCCTCCCTCCTGGGCTCCCGTGGCACAGCCCTCTCAGGAGGGGGCAGGGACAGCAGCCCAGGGCTCCTGACTGTCATTAGAAATGCAAGTTCACATCTGCACATGGTAAAATCTTACACCCCTGAAATTCCCTCCTACATGTGGCTCCCCATCCTCCAGGACCCCTCTCCAGAGGCAGCTCCTGCTAATGGCTTCTTGTAGAGTCTTTCAGAAAGAACTCTGTGGGTGCACAAACCCGGGATTGCGCGTGAGCCCGTAACCCCCCATTTTTATACAAAAACAGAAACATATTATTCATAACATTCAATGTCTTGCTTTTCTTTCCTGAACAAAATATCTTAGGCATTGCTCCATATTGGTGCATATGGAGCTTTGCAGTGTCTTTAGAATGATTGCATAAGGCTCCTCTCCGTGGAGGGACCATCTTTTCTCTAACGTGTTCCCTGCTTCTCCGCATGTGCATTGTTTTCAGCCTATGCTGTTCCAAACAGCCACAGCTTTGGGCGTTTCTCTGCGGGACCCATTTCTGGAGGTGGGATTAATCGGGAAAGGGTATGTGCACGTTCGGCTAGGCTAGATCTCCCCAAGCCGGGCTTCAAGGACGATGCTTCAGCTATCAATCCACGGACAGCCTGTGGGGCTCCGTGGACCACACAGCGTGATAGCAAACGTTTTGTTCTTTGGCAGAGCCTTTTCCTTAGCAACAACATGGTGTGTTTGGAGTAGTTCTACCAATAGAAGTTGGAGGTTTCTGAGCCCACCGGCCCCTCTTCTGGGCCCAAAGGAGGAAGAGCGGACAGGGAAGACTGGGTCTGTGGGCTGGGCCTTCGTTGGCAGCTAACCTAGAACAGAAAGGACTGATTATGCAGCTAGAGCCCTACCTCCCATCTAGTCCCACCCCCACCCCCCACCACCCACCAGATCTATGAAATGGGTGTGATGGACCCCTGCTTGCTCACCAGAAGGGGAGGGAGTGAGAGCTGGGTGCCTGAGGGGACAGGTGACTTCATCATCCCTGCGCAGAGTCTCTCAGGCTGTGGTTTGGGTAGGCAGGGAGCCTCGTCCCCTACCTCAGGCTGGGAGTCCCCTGGGGCTTGTCCAGGTCCCCAGCCTGAGGACCCCGCAGGACCCCGCAGCCCAGGGCTCTCAGGAGCCGGCTCTCACTGTGGGCAGGACCCTTCCCCAATACAAGTAGATGATGCGTGGTCTGCTGTTTGAGCCTCTGCTGCCAGTACTTACAGAAGACTCTATGGTGGGGGTTCTGCAGCTCCCAAACCTGATGCGTGAGGAGTTGCAAATGAGAACAGGGAGCAAGAGCCTCAGGCCAGGTGACACAGTCTTGGGTGAGTCCGTGACTGCCAGGGGACCTGACGGCACAGGGAGCCTGGACTAGGAGGACTCCTCAGGCCTTGCTTACTTAGATCTCTGGCAGCTGTATAACCACCCTGAGCCTCGGTCTCTTCATTTGCAAAATGGGAGGAGACTAAACTCCCAAGACCCTCTGGGTTTAGCACAGTGAACCCAGTGGGCTGTGGATTCAGAGCTCTCCTCTGGGCTCTGGTGGAGGGGACAAGAGGCAGAGCTGTTTTTGAGCGGGCACTGAATTTTCTAGGCCAAGCAGGGGCACTGTCTGGACCAAAGCCTTAGCGGCCACTCCCTTGTCCCTTTCTTGGGCCAGACTGGCGGCAGGCCGAGGCTGTCCCGTGCTGCATCAGGCGGAGAGCTGAGGGCAGGGGATGTGGAAGCGTCCAGGGCGGTTCCGCCGCTCTGGCAGCAAACCCAAGGAAAGAGCCCAGGGACATCTGTTGTCTCCCATTCTCCATAAAAGCATTTGGCTCCCAAGGAGCCCAGTGCTGTCCTGCCAAGCTGCGTGGGCTTGGTGGAGTCCGGTCAGGGGCTGGAAGTTGGTGCGGAGGGCTGAAGGGGTTAGTTGGGACAGGGGTGCTGAGGGACAGGCAAGGCCAGAGTTTGCACCCCAGACAGAGGTGAAGGCCAGGCTGTTGTGGGGCACTCGGGTGAGGCGGGAGGGGGCTGGTGGTTATCCAGAGACCCCCATGTTCTGGTGGGATGCATGTGTGGGCCTGAAAGTGCTTGCATGTGCCTCCTATTTATAGCCATGTGCTCAGCTTCTTACAAAGAAAACTGGTGTTGAGTCAGGCCCCCACCCCAGCCCAGGCCAAACATGACTCTCAATATTCTCTCCAGACAGACCTCTGATATCAGCCCCAAAGAGGCCCTGACGTTAACCCCAGTCGGTCCTCAAAGCTGGTTCCTGGCCCCAGGCCGAACCCCACATAGAAGCCAAGCCACCGCCTTCTCTCTCCTGGGTTATTGCAGGTCTCTCTGAGCTTCCCGCTTCTTCTTGCCAATCTATTCTGCATGTAGCAGCCAGAGTCATATTAAAGTGTAATCAGACCTCATGTCTCCTCTGCTCAGAACCCTGTGATGGCTCCCATTCCAGGAAGAGAAAAACCCAGAGTCCTTTCTGTAGCCCATAAGGCTCTGGGCAACCTGCCCCTCTCCGCTTGCTCAGGGCCCCCCAGCCACACCCTGCTGTTTCTCCCACAGGTCGGATGTCAGGCACGCTCCTGCCTCAGGGCCTTTGCACCTGCTCTTCCCTTTGCCTGGAGCCCTGGCTCTGAATTGTATCAGTTTTGCTCTTACTCATGGACACAGAAGCAGCTCTGTGGACTGAGCAGCCACTCCTGCTCTACAGGCAGGAGTGGGGATGGCTCCAGGCAGACCAGCACCTGTCCACTGTGCGACCCTGGCTCAGGACGCGGTGGCCAGGGCTAGGCCCCTTGAGGTGACTGCCAGGTCCTCAAGGGTCACCAGAAGCCACGTTCAATAGGAATCGAGGTGACATACACCCCAGGACAGTTCAGCAAACTTCCGCCCCTAGATACAGTGGCTCTTCCCCGCTGCCCTCTCCTGCACAGGAGAAGGGACAGCGGCTGTCATCCATCTCAGTCTACGCTGACCTGCCAGGTGTCCCTCCACGCCACTGGTATCCACACCTGTGGTCTGCGGACCCCGAATCCGAACCGCCTGGGGAACTCACTAAAAATGCAGGTTGAACTCCCAGGCTTTCCGACTCACGTGGTCAGGGATGCCCTGGAAGCTGCTTTCCACAAGCTCCTGGAATCTTGGTGTCACAGCCATGTCCGGAAACCACTGGGTTAAAGCTGGAGGAGCTGGTGATCTGAGAAGGGCTCTGGGTCAGGGGACCAAGACTGAAACCCCAGCTCCACTAGCAGCTTGCTGTGTAACCCTGGGAAAGTTGCTTCCCCTCTCTGTGCCGCAGCACCTCCCCACATGGGCACAAAGCCGGCTTGCCTTTCAGGAAGTCGCCAAACCTCAGCCTGGGGGAATTATTGTCACCCCGAGGCTGGGTGGGGTATAGGCCCTCCTCATCTCAGGGTCCTTCTTCAGAGGGCTGGGGGCCCTACCTGCGCCTTCTGCAGGCTCCCCATTCACCTCCCCTCCCGGCCCGTCTGCTTCTTAGGTAAGACCCGGACCAAGGACAAGTACCGCGTGGTCTACACCGACCACCAGCGCCTGGAGCTGGAAAAGGAGTTCCACTACAGTCGTTACATCACCATCCGGCGGAAGTCGGAGCTGGCCGCCAATCTGGGGCTCACTGAACGGCAGGTGTGTGGTTTCCCCCACCTCAGCCATGGGAGTGGCACAGGGACTCTGATCTCCAGGCTGCCAGGCAGATGACAGAACTCAGTTGAGGGAGGAGAACAGAGAGGTTGAGCCTCCTGGCCATGGTCACACAGCACAGCAAAAGCTGAGCTGCTGCCAAATCCTGTCCTGCCGCAACAAAACCCACTATCCCTAACCCCCAAAAGGGAGATAGGGGATCTGACTCACCGTAGGCCACAGCAGGCTATGATCAGTGCCATTTAAACCCAGAGGAGGGAGCAGTCACAGGCAGAACACGGAAGGCTTCCTGGAGGAGGGGTGTTAGGGCATGGCCTTGGAGATGAGGAGGCAGAGGTGACAGGAAAAGGTGTCCTTAGAACAGAGAAAGTGTGCAGGTTCCGTGGATGGTCGGGGCAGCTGGCGCGGGAGGTAGGCTGCAAAGGCCGCATGAAGAAATGAGAGCGCAGCTGCCCTCCCTCTCTCCCTCTCACCGCCACTGTGCACCTCCCCTCGCTCTCCTCCCACCACAGGTGAAGATCTGGTTCCAGAACCGGCGGGCAAAGGAGCGCAAAGTGAATAAGAAGAAGCAGCAGCAGCAGCAGCAGCCTCCCCAGCCCCCCCAGCCACCACCACCAGACCACGAAGTCACCCCCGCCACAGCTGGGCCACCCCTGGGGGGCCTGTGCAGCAGCTCCGCCAGCCTCCTGGGTGCCTCCTCCCCGATGCCTGTCAAGGAGGAGTACCTGCCTTAGCTCCCAGCCCTGCTACTGACCTTATGGGTCACCTTGGACAGGTCACCCACCCAGCCCCCGTTTGCCCTTGGCCTGTCTGTGCAGTGAGCTCCTTGGATAAGGACATTCTCCTATTCTTGGTCTCAGGGGGATAAGGGAACCCAGGGTGGGAGGTCTCAGTCCCCAGAGGGCTGGGGGCAGGGGGCCAGGATAAGCCCCCAGTCCCCATCTCCCTCTCCAGAGGTTCAGGGGCAGAAGGCTGTTACAGGGACTAGACCGACCCTGGGGAAAGCAGATGGAGCTGGGGAAGGTGGAAGGCTTGCCCACCGTGACCTACGGGAGGAATGCGGTCAGCTCCCACCTGTCTGGTCCTGCAGCCTCAGCTCCACCTGCCCCTGCCCTGACATGACCCAACCCTCTCCTGGCTGATGCAGAGCGCAGGGCCCACAGGATGGGGCCCGAGAGGCTCTGGTGACTGTCCCCTCAGGCTTGCAGAGCCGTACCTCCTCACCAGCATTCTCAGTGGGGCCTCCGGGTTGGGGAGAGGCCCCCAGGAGGGGGACAGAGGGGCAGCATCCCTCTGCCAGGTTCCACCCCACCAGGCCGTCCCCCAGGGCCCAGGCCGCACCGGGCCCTCGGAGGACGTGCTCTGAACGGAGCAGGGCTCACAGCTGGGCAAGTGTGTACATAGAGTGGAATCTTGTGGATGCAGCTTCAAGAATAAATTTTTCCCTCTTTTTAAAAATTATAAAAATTATTATACATAGCATTAGAGGAAAGTGTAAGTATAAATCACCCTTACCCTCCCCTAACAATTACATAACCCCTTCAGTCTCCGTCAGCACACAACAAGGTCACCTTTGGTGGCCTTGCATTTGAACGATCAAAACATGACATTGTTGGAGTAAGTCTATGAGACTATGTCAGATTTTAAGTCCATTTTGTGAGCAGAATCATCAGACTCAATATATCAGTCTTTTGAGTTTTTCAAACGCTTCCAGCTCAGGACTTTATAGTACTCATTGGGCGCCTCCACGTGCCAGGAGTGGCTGGGCCCGGTGAATGCAGTCCTCACCACCCTTCCCCACCGGGAGTTCCCAGTCCCAGCTATGCTCCAGGCATCAGGGCACAGAGCATTCAGGGACTTCCAGCTTTTCTTGGCGGGTCCGGAAGGCTTCCTGGAGGAGGTGAGGTTTGCACTGATGCCTAAAGGACTAGTGGGTGGTGTCAGGCCACGAAGTGGGGAATAGTAACAAAGAGTATGAGTAGTGTGAAGTTAACACAAGTTTTAAAACCCCCAGGGAAAAGCTGCTGTTCTCACCTCCCCTTCAGGAGCCTGCAAGCTGGAGGACTCGAGTGCCAGCCGCCTGCTCCCGCTGTTTACTGTTCTGGGAGGTGCCCCAGCCATAAAAAGTGCGCACAGCCTGCCCTTTGCTCCTGGGGCACATGACAACAATGCACGAGGTGCCTCCCTCCCGCACATGAGCCCCTGAAGAGCCGCAGGCACTCCTCTCTGTCCTACTGGTGGAGGCCTGAAAGATGTCACGGCTTCACTGAGGGTGATGGACTCCTAAAGCTTGGGAGCCGGGCGGCACCGGGGAAGGGACCAGGGCAGCAGGAGAAGAGGTTGCTGGGAGGGTGGCTGGCAGCGAGTGAATCTAGTTTTCTAATCATCAAAAACATTTGCTGTGGCCCCGGGGTAACTGCTTCCCCTCTCTGGGCCTTGTTTCCCTGTCTGTAAAATTGAGGAGCTAGTTTACCAAGGAAAAATGGCTCTAGCTGAGTAAGTTTGGAAAGTCCTGCAGACTCCACCCTTCCGGGAGAGTCACGGTGGTGCATTAGCCACCAAAGGCTCTGACAAGTCGTACAACAAAGAACCCTCTGGATCTTCTTTAACCCAGCATTCTCCATGCTTCACCCCCATACACACCCCCCAAGCCCTACCAGCACCCCACCCTCTGGCAAGTGGTGGCTCTGTGGGCTGGGGGGCCACAAACAGCTGTGACTCGATGTTTAGTAGCAGGTTTTGTCATCCTATGGCCCGGGCTCCAACCTGACTACTAAGCTGTGATACTTAAGGCAGGTTACTTAGCTTCTCTGAGCTTCAGCCTCCTCCTTAGTCAAATGGGAAAAAAAATACCCCAACCTATCTCAGAATTGGGCCCAGGGCCCAGGGCAAGGAAAGTTCTGGGCTTCAGCCTCCTGCTTCCAGGGCTGCTGCATCCTCATGTGACAGGCTGCCAGGCCTGACTGATGTTTTAACTACCCCACCCCCCAATGTTGAGGACAGATGGTGGCTGGGAAGATCTGAGGCAGGATAAGCCTGTCCCCAGCTCCAGGAAGCCTTCCTGGCAGGAGGTCAGGGGCCAGGCCTGGCAGGTGGGGGAGCTGCAGCTGCTGTGCACGTGGGAGGTCAGGGGTTGGGTGGGGCCTGCACATTGGGTCGCTGGGTCGTTGGGTCGGAGATCACCTGTCACGTGGTGTGAGTGCTGGGAAAAGGCCACTTCCATCTAAAACAACTTCCAAGCAGTGCCGTCGGCTGGCTGGTGAGGCATGAGTTCCCCATCATCCAGAGACTTCCACCAGAGGCTGAGCGTTGTAATGACCCAGGAAAGGACCACTCCTGTCCTGTTAGACCCCAGTGCTAAGAGATGGTCCAGCTTTCCCATCAGCTGCTTCTGCTTTGCATACAGAGGTTTTCAGCATCCCCCCTGCTGGTGGGCAGGCCCTGAATTGGTACCGGAGACCCAGGCTCCCAGTAAAAGTCAGATATGGCCTAGCCTCGTCCCTGAAGACCCTGGTTCTGGTCATGGCCTCCACTGAATCAGAAACATGCCCATCAGCACCGTGTTTTGCAGATAATTTCCCCTCTAGACCCTTCATGCCACAGGGAGAACCTCAGTCTTGTGGAGGCCATCAGTGAGGGCCGAGCCGAGAGGGCCCCAGCTCAGTTCTCACGAGGCCTGAGCTCGGGGCTGGGAGTGGAGTGTTCTCACACCGGAGGTCTCCAGCAGCCCAGGGTGGTGTGTGTGAGTGTGTGTGTGAGTGTGTGAATGTGTGTGTGTGTGTGTGTAACAGGTTATAATGGGAGGGATGGACAGAGGACTGGAGCTCCCTGGAAGCCAGCCTGCTGCTGGTGGCGTAGAGGCCCAGCCGGTAGAATGCGGAGCCTGGGGGCACAGCCAGCCCAGGACAGGCCGGCGGCATTGGAGGGCAAGCCTGACCCCGCCTGGCGGCTCCAGAACCACCTCCTCAGAACCACACCACAGGGACTAGCCGTCTGGATCCTCATCTCTCACAGTCGCCGCTCGGCGGGTGTAACAGAACACATGCCCCACCGTGATAAAGTCTGAACATGAAAGCAGATCGAAAATGTTTATTTATGTGCACTTAAAAATATCTTCCTATATAATAACAGGAAGTACATTTTCATCTAACACTTTGCTTAAATTAGCACACATCCCCATCTTACTTTTGATGTGAGATCAGAAGAGGATGGGGGAGAGGAGAGGATGGGGGAAGGGCTGTAGATTGAGATGTATGGGTTGGATTCCTAAGCAGTTATCTGCCAAGTGGCATCCGGACTTCCTCTGGGATGGGGGAGCGGAGACAGTGACGGTGGCAATTGTCTACCATGCTTGGTAGCTGAACTCGTGGTCACGTGTACGATTATAAACCTGGGCCTTCTGTGGACAGATGAACTTATGGGTCTCCCAGGGTCGGGGTGTTGTTGGCTTTATAAAGCACAGGCTTTTCCAACACTGGCCGTGGTGGTAGGGAGAGGGCAGCAGAGAGTGGCGATCTGAGGGCCCGGGCTGGGTGTGGTCAGACTCCTAGGTTCCAGGCCTGCCCCTGCCTCTACTCCCCAGTGAACTGGCAACGTCCTACCTCTTCTGGGCCTCAGTTTCCCCATCTGAAAGCAATGGGCCTAGACCCGTTTGCACTCAACCCCAGTAACTTGTGCTTGAGGAAGGCTAAAGCCCCAGTCCTGTTCCATCCCCTCCCCCAGGCCGGCTCCCTCCCGGGCTGGCTCTGGGGGGAGCAGGTGCTGCTGGGAAGTGGCCATAAAGAGGCTCTGGAGCCAATGCCTCAGTCCTACTCCAAGTTCTGTGGTTCTCTGTTGTTCTCTGTGCCTTCTGTAGGGTTTCATGAATCCTGGGCTCCAACGGGAGGGGCTGGATCGGCAAAGCTGCCTCCTGTCCCATAAGAGATGTGATGGGCCCTGGAGAAGGCCAGGGGGTGGGGGGTCCTGCCTGGGCCTTCTTAGAATCAGGAGCCACTGGCTTTCGCCCCTCCCTAGGCACAGCCCGCAGCCCTCTTGGCTTTACCTCTGAAGCCCAGAGAGTCAGTGCTCTGTGTGATATCACTCCTCCGAGACAGTTTCCTCAGGTGCTCCATGGGGGTGCACAAGCCTGCCTTCCCAGGCTGCTAGCGAGAATTAAAACTGAGATATTTGGTCCGAGTTCATCTAATACACAGAGTGGGGTTCCATCCTTCCTTTACATTCATGGCCAATGGGCTCCTTCCTCCTCGCCTTCCTCCCCACCTGCTGTGTGAGGCCAGGCTGCAAGGAAGGAGCAGCTTGGAGGAGAGGTGGGCCTGGGTGGGCCAGGCCAAGCCATTTATCCCAGCTCTCACTTTGACTTAACCCCTTCCCACCTCCTACCAGGCTCCAGGGTTGCAGGGAGCAGCACCTAACTTCACTCTCCCCAAAGGCCTCCCCGTGTTAGCTGATGGTAGGGTGACCCTATGAAATAGTCTCAGCTGGGACACTTTGAAGAGTAAAAGGGACATGATTTGTAATGTATTGCACATGCTGGGTCACTAGCATATACTGGTTCAGTCCCACACACCAGTGCACACAGTCACTCTAGCTAGTGATTTCCCATCTTAGCCACAGGCTCAGGGGACCCCCACAGCCTTCTAAGAGGTCAGCCAGGCAAGGGCTGGTTGATGGCACACTTGACAGACGTGCAGCCCTGATGTCGCCACGGCCCTACTGCGCTTGCACAGGAGCCCAGGCGCTCATGAGCTAAGTCACAGGACCTCAACACAGGACCCCTCGTCCTGTCCCTTTTCCTTGCCCAAACCTCCCTGTTTTACCCTCATCCCAAGAAAAAGAGGAGTGCTCAGGACTGCCACTGGCCTGGAAGGTCTGCCACGCCTGCCTCTGTCCCCGGTGTCATTCACTAGCCTTGTGACCCTGAGTGCGTGACTTCGCCTTTCTGTGCTTCGGTTTCCTCATCTGTAAGATGGGGCAATGCCTCTCCAGGCCACTGTGTGGAGGAAAGAAGATCTAGGGCAGGATCTGGCACACTTTATTTTATTTATTTTTTAAAAAGACTTATTTACTTATTTATTTTTAGAGAGGGAAAGGGAGGAAGAAAGAGAGGGAGAGGAACATGGATGTGAGCAAGAAACAGCGACTGGGAAGCAAGCACGTGACCTTTTGTTTTGCAGGATGATGCCCAGCCAACGGAGACACACCAGTCAGGGCGGGATCTGGCTCACTTCAGGTGCGCAGTGAACACCGACGGATTGGATGGTCGGATACGTATCCGACTGATGGTGGTTTTTCTTTTTTCAGGGGAAAGGGCAACCCATGGTCTGTCAATGGATGTTAACCGAGCCCCTACTGCGTGCCTGGCCCCATGCTAAATGTTTTCCGTGCACCATCTTCCTGAATTCCTCACATCCTCCTTAAGGGAATAAGATTCTTATCCCCATTTTCCAGACGAAGAAGTGGCAGTGCGGGGAGGTTAAGCCATGTGGACAAGGTGTCACACAGCCAGGAGAGGAGGACCCCGGATGCTGGAACCGACCACTGCCTGTTAGTGTTCCCGGGCATATAGCCTGCCCTCCTCGTTGCCCAGCTGGAGAAAGAGAGGCCGAGAGAGGGCAAGTAATTTGCCCAAGGTCATGCAGGAGACTGATCGAGGCCTCCAAACCTTCAAGGGTTTCCCTCACAACCCCCCACCCCCACCCCACCACTCCTTACGCGCTTGGCCCCTCCAATCACAGCTCTGCACGAGGGGGCGCGCATCCCCCCCACCTCCACCCCTCTGCTGTCTGTCTGTCTGGGTGTCTACGCGGGCGCAGTTGTGCACCCCTCCCCAGCCTCCAGCCCTGCGTAGAGAGCGGCAAGCAAGCGGTGGCAGCGCCCGGCCAGCACCCTACGCCCGCAGCCGACAGACGGCAGCGCCTGCGCTCGCGGCTCCCCCCGCCCCGCCGCCCCCCCTGCAGCCGGTGCGCGGCAGCCGCCGGGGCAAAGACGCGTTGCCAGCCGGCGACACAGCTCCCGCTCTCTCGCTAGCTCTCTGCGCTGAAGGGAAGCCGAGCCAGGAAGCCCCAGCAACCTGCCCATCAAGATGAAGAAGCTCCAGGGAGCTAAACTCCGAAAGGTAGGGCACGAGGGCGGAGTAGGGGCGCACCTGAGAAAGGGGTGCAGAGGCCCGCCCCCATTGAGGCCCTAGGGAGGTAGGGAGGGCACCTGGTCCCAGCTCAGAGCTCTGGGAGAAGCCGGGCTGTCCTGAATTGCACCGGGCAGAGGAGGGGAGGTGGGGTCACGGTCTGTGCCACCCCATACCACCCCACCCCAGTCTGAGGGTTGGGATGTAGTGTAATTGGGCCTGGGGTTCATTACACCAGGTCCTACGAACAGGTGTCTGCAACCACAGGAGGTGAAAGGTAGGGGTGGCTGGGGCCAGGCACCCACCCCTCTCCAATCCCCCTCCCATTTTCCCCAGAGGCTGGTGGGGTGGGGGGCATGTGTGTTAGAATAACTGAGCAGTAGCCTGGAACAGGACAAATTTCGGGGTAGTGGGTGGAGGCGTGGGCCCAGGCCTCCTCTGGTTACTCTTAAGCTGAAGCAGCCCCTGAGATCCAGCAGGGGCGCAGGCTTTCCTGCCCGCGCTCCTGCCTGCAGAGCCCCCGACCTGCTTCCTCCCCGCTCCCTTCCTCCTCCTGGCAGCTGTAGTGTCCCTGCTAAGACCCCAGGCTGCCCCTCTGCAGGAGAAGGAGGCAAAGGCATGGAGTGAGGAACTTGGAGCCCTAAGGAATATGGGGGTGAGAGCTGGCAGGAGAGAAGCAGCCAAATCCTGGGGCCCTGGGCCCAGACCTCAGCGCCCCCCCACACCTGGTCCTGTGGGGTGGCCCTCCCAGCCAAGTGGTATGGGCATGGGGAGGGAGAGTGGTGGGGCAAGTGTTCTGGCTTTGGGCTTAAAAGTAGCAGTCCCAGCCAAGGAGTCAGAACTCCAGGCTACTATTTCTGCAGGTGCCCTGGACTCAGTCTGTGGCAAGTCCATTCTGGAACCTGGACCATTGTCCATCCATCCTCGGTGTCAGAGCACCGAAGCAGGCTTTCCCGTCACAGGTGCGGTCCATAGGGCCTGCTGTTATTGACCACGCCCCCCGCCACAGGCCTCCCCCATTTATTCAAGCTCTCTGCCCTTGGGCAGCTTTGTGGAACCACTGTGATAGGTGGGTCCTTCTTATCCCTGAAGTGAGTCACTTCTTAGGGTCATTCGTGGGTCTCTTGGGCTTCAGTTCTGCCTGGTTCTTTTCCATTCTCCTCCTCTCTTCCCTTTCCTGTCCCTCCCCACAAGAACCCCTGCCCCTCACTGCCACAGGGCCATGCATTATGTAAATAGCCCTGTTGTGGGAAGCTTTATCTCATACAATCCCCCAACAATTCTGGAAGCTAGGGCTCGTTATCCCCACTTTATAGACCAGGAAACCAAGGCATACAGGGGTGCAGCTCACTGCTTTCCTGAAGGTGAGCTGAGCAACCTAGGACCAGCAGAGCAACAGGAGGGGCCACCTAGCCTCAGAGTACCCTCCCTTGGTCTGAGGGAGAGGGGGCAGGGAGGCAGGAAATGCCAGGTATCAGCAGTGAGTATGGGCTCCGAGTCAGGGGTCTGGGTCCCGGCCTTGCTCTGCCCTTGACTTACTGTTTGACCTTGGGCTCCTCCCTTCCTGTCCCTGAAACTCAGTTGTCTCGTCTGCACAGTGATGAACCATTGTCTGTCTCTCTCACCCTGAAGAAGGTATGAGAGCCTTGGCTTGGGCTGTCCTGCCTCTGCCAGCCCCTGGTGCACTGGTGATCTGTATCTGCTGGTCCCTAAAAGAGGGGTGCAGGTCTGCCAAACTCAGGTGTGTTCCTGTGTGACTCTGGGTAGGGAGTGGGGGTGTCTGGGGTGGGAACCTCACACCCAGGTGGAAGTGTGAACTGACTCATTAAGCTTCCAGCCCTGCCCCTGCTTTCCTCTGTCTTCTGACTGTTCCAGCCTCTGTTCCAGCTCCTGGGATTCCCTCCAGGGGCGGGGGGGTGGGGACTCCAGGTGGGCTGCACATTGGCTCAGCTTTGGAGGACCCCATCCCCTGCCCCAGGAGCAGAAACAGGTTTCCTTCTGATTGGAGAAGGAGGGGACAGAGAGCTGGCAGCATCCTGCTCTTGGAACTCTTGTCACCATGGAAACAGAGAGCTAGGACCCGCTCTGTGAACATAGAAAGGGCAGCAGCTTCTCAGGAGGGATCAGAGGAACCTCACTACCGGGCCTTCCTGCCAGCTGGCCTGGATGGGGCTGGGGACCCACTGGGTGACAGGCCTGCCTCACCACCCGGTACCAGTGTCAGCTGGCCCTACCTCATCCCTCCTGCAGCTCACCTAGGAGGGAGCAGCTCCAGAGGGCTGGTGAGAGAGCCTTGGGGGCAAGGGCATGAGGGGAAGGGGCAGGTTTCAGATGGGTCTGAGGGCTGCTACTGCCCTAGCCCCCGAGTGCCCAAGGTCACAGCTGAAGAACCGCCAGGCACATAGTTGTTCCACCCCTGGGAGCCCAGTTACTTGAAAAGCAGCTTTTTCATTGTTGCCACCATCACTCATAATCATGCCAGGCTGCCCTGGTCCAAAAGCTAGCCTCAGGCAGGACCACCCCGACTGTCGTCACTGTCACTGAGAGTCAGCCCAACACTGTTTCTGCCACCAGAGCCTAATATACCAACCCTGTCACCACAGCCAGACACCTCCAGTCCTGTGACTCCTGCACTCTTCGCCCCAGCAATGCTCATATGACAAATCCCCAGCAAATCCTTCTCCGTCGCCACCTGATTTGTGTGAAGACACCTGCTTGGTCTGGTGCCAGGAGGGGCAATTTTAGGGGAACACACAAACCTGGTCGCGGCAATGTCCTGAGCCCCTGGGTGCAGCAATGTCCTGAGCCTCTGGGCGTGAACCAGGTCTGGTCCTCAACCGCCGCGTGAGTCTCCAGTGAAGTCTCTGTGGAGAACCTTGCCTCACAAATCAGAGCGGGAAGACTGTTAGACGGAGATTGTCTAGACCTGCATTTCCCCAGGTATATGCTAGTAGGCCCACTCCTTGAGACCCTTTCCTTAAACAGGACTGGAAAACACTGTCTATGCCAGCCCCTATTTCGAGAGTCCCAGTGCTTATTGGGCCATTGAAGAATCCCAACAAGTAAAAACGGATCTCTCCGTTTTACCTCGTGTTAACCCAGCTTTCCCCAATGGGGAAACTGAGGCTCAGAAGACTCCTTCCCAAAGTCTTACAGTGAATTGGCACAGACGTGGGACTGGAGCTGTGCTCCCCCAACTCCCAGCCCAGAGGAGTCACTGTTCCCCCAACCATCCTTCAGCAGGGAGCAGGCAGTCCCTTCTCTCTGAAAAACATCGGCGTCATCCGGCCATTTGCCTTCTTTGCAAGTCCATCTTTCCCTGCCATAAGGCGAGACTTACAGAGGCAACAGGAGAGCTGTGGCTCCCCCTTTCTCCTGACCCATTCCTGCAGTCGCTTCTAGAAACTGCTGTCTGAGTTTCAGGTGGTCATCCTAGGATCTCTGGTGTTCTTCCCAGGCCCTAAGCCCAGACGGCCCATGGACACGCTAACTCACATCGCTCGGGGCCAAGATTCCAAGCAGCTGACCCAGCTCCTAGCCCTAGCCTGGAGGGAGAATGCCCAGTGGACGTCCCCACCCTCTTTGAGTCACAGGAGGGGCCTTGGGGACAGCTGGCCTCCTTTCGCCTCTGCGCATACATCTGTCCACCAGTGACAGCAAGATTATGACCTTGTGAGACAGATTGGTGCTTAAGTAGCAACTTCCTGCCCAGGAACTGACATGCACAGCCCTCTGTAGGCCCCTTGAACGTAAATGCAGTCCTTCTTCCAGGGGAGTCCAGGGTCCCTCCCAGCCCTCTCTTCTCACGCTCAGGGATCCCAGCTCCTTCCTCTTGTCCTCACGTAACCGCTTTTCCTGAACAACCTCCAGTTTGGCCACCTGCCCTTCGGACACGCGCCAAACTGTCTGTGTCTGTCTTAGAAGGTGGTGCCCAGAAGGGAGGAACAAAACTTCAGTGCTGGTGTGTGAAGACATGGGCTTGGACGGGGGTGAGCTCTGGGCTCGAGACCCAGCTCTCCCACTGCCGGCCTTGTAAACACCTCAGGTGTGTCGGGGCCCCTCTTCGGCCCTTGGTTCTCCCCGTCGTTAAATTGGAGCTTAGATGAACACTTAGCTCACAGGTAAGAATGAAATCAGGTAACGTGAGTAAAAATGTTGAGTGCAGCGAGCACATGGTCAGTGCTCAATACATGGTGACCATCGTTATGATCGTTGTCGTCATTGTCATCATCTTCAAAACAGGGCCATCCCTTGATTGCACCTCTGTGTTAGCCAAACTAAGAGCAAGGTAGCTTTCTGAGTGCCTGAGCCACCCTGCTGGTCCCATGAGTTTGCAGTCACCTGAAATCTCAAGGAGTTCCTGAATGTGGACCACGTTCCCCCAGCTGAGAGAAATCGATCGTCCGAACCAACAGACGATCTGTCCTGTAGCCCTGGTCAAGTCCATGGGCTTGTGTTAGTGGTTGCAGTTCCAACCTGACCTCCCCTTTCTCCTCCACCCTTTTGGTCTCTTTTACTGGCAGCCTGTCACCCCAGACCTGCTGATGACCCCCAGTGACCAGGGGGATGTAGACCTGGATGTGGACTTTGCTGCGGACAGGGGGAACTGGACAGGCAAGCTGGACTTCCTGCTGTCCTGCATCGGCTACTGTGTGGGCCTGGGGAACGTCTGGCGCTTCCCCTACCGAGCCTACACCAACGGAGGAGGTATGGGCCTGTGCTCACTGCCCGGTGATGAGTCAAGGCTCCGGGTGGACTGAGGTTTGAAGTGGCCTTAGCCACCGTCTCCTCTTTGACCTTGAACAGAATTAATTGAAAGTGGTTTCATAGCAACCTGGGGCTGGAAAGAGGGAGCTCACCTGCCTTGTCCCTTTTCGTCACCCAGGCCCCTCCTCCCTCCCTCGGTCCCAGCGTGGGTACCCACACAGTGAGTCCTAAGCACTGGGACTTCCTGGGCCCTGAGCGATGGGCAGGGGGCTGCCTCTGCTTCATGATACAGAGCTGTATCTGCCTGTCAGTGATCACTAAACTCTCAGTATTCTCCCCACCTCCACCCCCCTCACCTCCTCCAGAATCTTGTTCTATCAATAATTCCTGCTCGTGAATCTTCAATCTGTGCTCCGCTCCCGGTTCCTTCCATTGTGATGGCAAACACAGAGTCTCCCATCTGAAACAGATTCTCTGATGTCCCTGCTTCTCCATCAAGTGACCGTTCTAAGTCTTATTAACTAGCTGGGGTTGAGCACTCACCATCTGCCAGCCCTGGGCATGGGGTCCCCACGCCTGTCTCCATTAACCCTGATGGCAGCCCTCCTGGGTGGGCACCGTTGTCCTGATGGGGAAGCCTGAGCTTGGAGAGGCCGGGTTCCTTGCCCAAGGTCACACAGTGGCCAACCCAACAGCCCACCCAGGACTGTCTTCTGCAGAGCCAATGCACGCCCACCAGCACTCCATATCTCTTCCACCTCTACCAAACTCATGGAAGAAGTGCATGTTGGCAGGGAGACAGAAATCCAAATAGAACTGGAGGAAGCAAGGACAGATGCACCGATGCGGCCGGGAAGCGGAGGACCGGAGCTGGCCGCTGAGGCTCTGGGCGCTCCATAACATCCCCAGTCCTCCCTGCTCCCATCCTCACCCCCACCCACTTCCTGACTCCTTCCCTCTGCGTGCTGACCTCATTTTTTCCTGGGACAGGCTTCATCCTTACAGTCGGGGTGGCCAGAGACAACTCTGGGATGACTTCACCCTCAGAACCGCCGTCTCTGAATAAATCTACTTAGAATCCCAGGGAAGGTCTCTAGTTGGCCCGACCTGAGATATGTGCCCCTCAGGAGGTGGGCAGGGGTTGGCTGGCCTGACTGGCAGCCCCTCCAGAGCCATATGGTGGTGGGAAGTTCTCTGAAGGAGTCGGCTGCCAATATGAGAAGGAAGGGGGAAGGGATGCCGGGCGCATGGGACCGCAGGTGGCAGCTGCAAGCATCTGAGGTGGCAAGGCGGGGAAGGGAAAGGCAGGGAGATCGGAGGGCTGATTTCTACAATGAGGAGTATGCACTTTCTTCGACAGGGAACTCACTCATTCACTCACTCATCTGTTCATTCACTTGCTCAGTGTCTGCTCTGAGCCCAGCCCTGGCCTGGGCGCTGGGGCTACAGAGGTGAGTGAATCCCCTCTGCCCTTCCCTGGGCCCTCAGTGATTGGTGGTTAAAGAAGAAGAAGAAGAAGAAGAAAAAGACATCCCAAGCCACAGGAGAAATTCTCTCTCAGGTCGCAGGCAGTGGCCACTGGTCAGGGGAGGGGCAGGGCTGGAGCTGGGCCTTGGGGCGGGGGCGGCCCACTGAGACCCTACCCACCCTCCCTCCTCCTCGCAGGTGCCTTTCTTGTGCCCTACTTCCTCATGCTGGCCATTTGCGGCATCCCCCTCTTCTTTCTCGAGCTCTCCCTGGGCCAGTTCTCCAGCCTGGGGCCCCTGGCTGTCTGGAAAATCAGCCCCCTCTTCAAAGGTGAGGCCTCCGTGGTCCCCGGGGTGGTCTGGGCCTGGGGGAGGCAGGGCAGTTGTTCCTCTCAACCTCCAGAAAGGGATGGCTTCGCAGAGGAGACACGGCCTGGCCCACGGGAAGCGTTGGCCTGAGGGTAGCACCCGTCCCCCCCGCCAGGTGCCGGCGCAGCCATGCTGCTCATCGTGGGCCTGGTGGCCATCTACTACAACATGATCATCGCCTACGTCCTCTTCTACCTCTTCGCCTCCCTCACCAGCGACCTGCCCTGGCAGCACTGTGGCAACTGGTGGAACACGGCCCTCTGCCTGGAGCACAGAGGCTCCAAGGACGGCAACGGGGTCCTGCCCCTCAACCTCACCGGCACCGTCAGCCCCAGCGAGGAGTACTGGAGGTCTGGGGGGCCCGGGCCCCGTGGGGTCGGGGGAGGGTGGGAACGAACCCGTGTCCCCCAGGGGCCCAGCCTGCACCGCAGAGCGGCCAGTATCCCGTGGACTCTGGGTTCTAATCCCAGCTCGTTACCTGACCAGCTCTGCGACCTTGAGCAATGTATTTGGCTTCGGATGCCTTATCTGTAGCGCAGATATGATGAGAGTATTTCAGAGGGCTGCCAGGAGGATGAGAGAAAAGAAGGCACGTAAACTTTGCCTTCAGCCTGGTGGGTAGCAAGTGCTCAGTCAACGCTAGCTGATGGTAATGGTGGTGATGGTGATGATGATGATGATAACAGTAATGGTAACCTTTTGGAGTCTCAGCTTCCACCTCTGTAAGAGGGGATGACAATAGTCCCTGCTTTACAGGGTGTCATCCAGCCAGTCACTCATGTATTTATTCATTCTTTCAATTACTACTTACTGAGCAGCAACTGTCATTAGTAGATAAAGAACGTAACATCAGCCAGGACCACATAGTAAGGACCCTCTCTGGTTGGCTTAATAGGAGAGAAAGGACTATGGTAGAGGAAGGGACTGTTGTGAGGGTCACACAGGTAATGCAGGTGAGACCCTGCCACAGAGCCAGGCAGATTGCGAGCCCCCATGAGTGGCAGGTGTGGGGCGTCACCACTCATCGGCCTGTCCCAAAGCCCCACTTTGCAGCTGAGAAAACAGAGAGGCTTGCCCAGTGCTTGGTGGAAAAGGCAGTCCTGGAACCAAGGAACCTTGATGCTTGATCCTGTTCTGGAACATTCCAGAGTAGCCTGGTCTCTGGGTAGGAACCACTGACTGACCAGAGGATCATTGGCAGACCAGACACCCCCAAATCTTCCCTTGCCAAGGGCTGCTCTTAGGAATCTTCCCCCAAGTGGACCCCATGTCTTGACATATTTTAGTCTCCAACCTGCATTTATTATGCAGTTCATCCATTCGCCTGTCTAAAGTCCATCCAAAGTGCATCTACCTGCCAAGGAGTACATCTGACCAGTGGGAAAGGATGAGCCTGGGTCTGCAGCTTAAAGCCGAAAAACATGCAGGGTCCAGCGGCTGCTGGGGTCTCCACAGAAACACCACAGCCCCCTGCATCAGTGGGAGCTCGGGCAGAAAGCAGGCAGTACTCTCACAAGGCTTCAGCAAAGGGAGTGTAGTGGGGGGACCTTACAGAGGTGAGGCAATGCACACAGAGAGGTGAGGCATCAGGACTTAGCTAGAGGGTCGGCCGTCCCACCCCTGAGCTAAGGGGGCAGCGGGGGGACTGGGGGTAGTGGAACCAGGGAGGTTTGGAGCCTTGGAGGAAAGCCTGCCCAGTAATAGCTTGCTATGGAAAAAGGCAGTCACAGCCGGGCCTGCTGATGGTGTGCTTGCACTCACTTGTGCATAGGCCCATGGACATGTGTGTGTACAAATATACCCCGACCTCTCACTCCTCCCAGCCTCCAGTCTCCTGCTGCTGCTTCCCACTAACCCAGACCCAAGTGGAAATGGAGCATGAAGGCAGCCTGGGACAGGGATCTGTGGAGGTCAGCCTCCTGGATGCAGAGCTGGTCAGAGGGCAGACCAGAATCAAAGGGAAACTAGCCAGGACTGCCTCGCAGGCTGGCCACGGCTTTCCTCCCATCAGTGGAGTGTGGCGGTGCGACCAGAGGACACTGAGACCTTCATCTCCCACAGCCGATATGTCCTCCACATCCAAGGCAGCCGGGGCATCGGCAGCCCCGGGGAGATCCGCTGGAACCTCTGCCTCTGCCTGCTGCTCGCCTGGGTCATCGTGTTCCTCTGTATCCTCAAGGGCGTGAAGTCCTCAGGCAAGGTGAGGTCTGAGGGGCCCAGAGGCCTGAGGGGCTGGGAGGGGTGAGGGCTTCCTGGAGGAGGCAGGGCGTGGATCGAACCTAAGAGGATGAGTAGACTTCAACTGGGAAGAGGGGAAGGGAAAGGGCACGGAGCTGGGGATGGAGGGGGACGCTGCCTGAAGAAAGACGTGGAGGTAAGGATGGCAGTGGCTAGGCTGGTTCACTAGACTAGAAACTTGCCAAGGGCAGGACCTAGCTGTTATTCAAGTTTGTATCCTTACCCAGTGCTTGGCACTTTGAAAGGGCTCAGCGGGTGTTCCTTGAATGCTTTGAGGGTGGTTATATGAGTCAGAGCTCTTTGAGATGCCAGTGACCAGAATGCAGTTGTCACACTCAATTGGAAAGTCCAGAGTGTGTGCTTCAGGCATGGCTGGATCTAGGGCTTCAATTAATATTATTAGGAATGTGGTTCTTGCAGCCTATCAGCAGTGCTTTCCTCTGGAGTGGCTTCCTTCTCAGGCTTCATTCTTCATGTGGTTGTCCCAGTAGCTCTGGGCTACACTGTACCTGCTTAGGGAAGGGTTCTCCCCTTCCCCAGTTTGCAAAATCCTAGAAGTGAGCCCCACTGGGTAAGCTGGGTTGCAGTACCAATCCCTGAACCAGTCACTGTGGCCAGGAAGGTGGAGTGCAGGGCCTGGGTCACGGGCCCATCCCCAGAGCTGGGAATGAAGTCAGGTGGGGTAGGGAAAGTCAGGGGACTCTTATCCAAAGAAGGTCAATGAGATATTGAGCAGACAGAGCCACAGGTGTCCACTTTAGGTTATAAAGGGCAGGAAGGCCATAAAGCTGTTTCAGAAGGACTTGGAAACCTGAATGGTTTACTTAATCATTTATAAGTTAGAACTTGTCCCTCTGCAAAGTGCTCAGAAATGTTGTCCACTTGGAAGAGAACCATTACGAAACCAGAGAAGAAAGCGTTTAGAAAGAAGGGAGAAGTAATCATAGCACGAGCCGAGGGAGTGAGGAGCCAGGACTCAGTGGTGTCTGCTGAGGGCATGGCTGGAGGTTTGGACACGGGCAGAGACAGGGCAGAGGGGGGCCTGGGAACGTGCAATGTCTGAGGATCGTGCTGGCTGATGACCACGTGGGGTGCGTCTGCTGGGGACAGTGGACGTGAGAGGCAGGAGGCTCTTCTACCCTCCAGGGGAGGGGCGATGGTGGCCTGGACTGGGCAGCAGGGGAGCTGGAGGGAGTGGATAGATTGGGGACAGCCTTGGGAAGCAGTGGCAGGACTTTGCAGATGGGGTCAATGTGTGGAGGGCAAGGAGGAGGAAGGGAGGGAGGGGAAAAGAAGCATCACAGGTTGATGGCTGTTCCCGACTTGGGCGTAAGACGGGGATTTCTTGAGGAGCAGCAGGGTAGAGGAAGTCACCCTGCCTCCTGTCCCCACTCACTGACTCTCAGGTGGTGTATTTCACGGCCACGTTCCCCTACCTCATCCTGGTCATGCTGCTGGTCCGAGGGGTGACCCTCCCAGGGGCCTGGAAGGGCATCCAGTTCTATCTCACGCCCCAGTTCCACCACCTGTTGTCTTCCAAGGTGAGGCCTCGGGGCTGGGGTGCAGAGGGGGGCAGTCAGGCCCGAGCCGGGAAGTGGAAACATGGATCCCTGGGGAAGAGAGTGAGCCGGGGTAGGACCCCCAGACGTGGAGAGCCCCCAGGACCAGGCACTGTGCTTGGCACTGTCTCTTTCGTTAATTTTTCTCGATGTTCCTGTGAAGTAAACAATATCTTCCCGTTTTACAGATGAAGAAAACGGAGGCCCAAGAGTCAGGGGTCAGCTCTCACTCACGCAGCTAGGAAGCGGCAGAGCTGGGATTCTAACCCAGATCTGTCTGAGCCCAGACCCCACGGAAGGCCTGAGGAATAGCGGTCACCACAACCATGGTGCTGACGGCTGTCATTGCTCACTCATTGACAAATGACTGTCCCTGACCCCACTCCTAGCACTTCGCATACACGCGGTCATTTAACCCTCCCACCACCCTGTTCCAGATGGTGAGGTGGCTTGCCCAAGCTACAGGCTGGAGAGTGGTAGCGCTGTGGTCCAGACCCAGGTCCCTCTGCCTCTGAGAAGGAAGTCCAGGGGTTACATGGGCTTCTCGTCCATGTGAATTTACTGAAAAACTTAGAGGAGGAACTACATCCTTCAGAACGAGACCAAGCTTAGACATTACCTTCTAGATCCTAGCTGGGGAAACTGAGGCCCAGAGAGGCAGAGTGTAAGCGTGGAAGCTGGGCTTGCTCCTGGCCCATGTCACTTGTGAGCCAGGCCCTACCCCACACCATCCCTGGACCAATCAGCCGGCTCCCTCATCTCCTCCCTCCTGTCTCCTTGGCCCTGTACACGATGATGTGCCAACCGCTTCTCTTTGCCCTCCATCTGCATCCTTCCTGCCACAGGTGTGGATCGAGGCTGCCCTTCAGATCTTCTACTCCCTGGGTGTGGGCTTTGGGGGTCTCCTCACCTTTGCCTCCTACAACACGTTCCACCAGAACATCTATCGGTCAGTGCAGCCCACTGGACCCGGGGGCCGGAGCGGGAGGAGAGAGGCTAGCTGGGGAGGGCCTCATAGGGTGAGGCTCACAGCCTGCACCCGGACTTCTCCCTGCAGAGACACCTTCATCGTCACCCTGGGCAACGCCATCACCAGCATCCTGGCCGGCTTCGCCATCTTCTCCGTGCTGGGCTACATGTCTCAGGAGCTGGGTGTGCCCGTGGACCAAGTTGCCAAAGCAGGTGGGCATGCTGCCCGGCCCTGGTATGCCAAGGGCCCTAGGGCATGTCGAGGGCTGGGAAAGTGAGCCTGCGTGGGGACCAGCAAGGTTGCAGATGGGCATGGAGAGTGTGTGCGTGCATGTGCACACAAATTAATGTGTCTTAGCTGGTCTCTGGGTGGCCGTGTGCAAATGAGTGGATTTGACCTGTGTCTGGAGATACGTGAACTTCTGTATGAGACTGTCTTATGTTTTGTCACATCTTAGTAGCTCACCTTGCTTGTCCCAATGAATCATGTGCTGTACTGAGATATCTGTGTACAAGCGAATCGATGGTGTGAGTGATCGTGTGCTTTACCTATATGTTAGTGGGGTTGTTTGTGTGAGTAGTTGTGTACATAAGCGTATTCAACTGAAGTGTTGTATTTGGGTCTCCTGTGTATTCATGTACTCATCGTTAATGCATTTATTTTATCAACTTCTGCTCACTGAGCGCTGACGATATGCTGGCATGCGCCCTAGGAGTCCCGAGAGTATCAGAGGTGTGCAGTGAGTGGGCACCTTGGGGTTTGCCCACGTGGATGTAAGCGACCACGTGTGTCTGAGTATGTGTGTGGGGCCTGCCGCGTGCCCCAGGCTGCTGACCCCGTGTGCCCTTGGCCCAGGCCCTGGCCTGGCCTTTGTCGTCTATCCGCAGGCTATGACCATGCTGCCTCTGTCCCCCTTCTGGTCCTTCCTCTTCTTCTTCATGCTGCTGACTCTCGGTCTGGACAGTCAGGTGAGCCTTGGCCACACCAGGGGTGCCTCATGGTGTGTGTGATGTGGGTGTGCTGTGTGTACCTCTGTGTGTGGGATGTGTGTGTGTGTGTCTATGTGCAATGTGTGTGTGTGATGTGTTTCCATGTGTACGTTTGTGTGTCTCTGGTGTGTGATGTTTGTGTGTGTGTATCCATGAGTGTGTGTGTGTGGTGGAGGCGGAACTCTGACCCTCCTCCCCCCTGCCACTCCAGTTTGCCTTTCTGGAGACCATTGTGACAGCAGTGACAGATGAGTTCCCGTACTACCTGCGACCCAAGAAGGCCGTGTTCTCAGGGCTCATCTGTGTGGCCATGTACCTGATGGGGCTGGTCCTCACCACAGACGTGAGTGGCTTTGCAGGGCAGGTGGCTGGTAGGCGAGGCTGGGAGGACACCTGTAGCAATGTCTGTGGCCAGGCTATGCATTTCCCAAGCCACCCATTTCCTTGGCCTCTTTGGGGGGGGGCCCTCTCTCCCAAGGGCCACCTTGGTCTGTGACCCAGAGTCCTAGCTTTGGAATCTGAAAGACCTGAGTTCAAGCCTTGCTCCTGAACTTGCTGAGCAAGCTCACAACAAGTGGCTTCTCCTCCCTGCACCTGCTTTACCATCAGCAGAACGGGGTCTGTACCTAGGGTTGCTGTGAGACTCAGATAAGGTGATGCGTATGGAGGGCCCGGCAGGCGGACAGCAGCATGCTGTCAACAGCTTGCTCGAGGGGCTGCAGCAGGGAGCCAGGCCGTGGGGAAGGGACCCCAGAGCTGTGACTTGTATTCCAGGGGGGCATGTACTGGCTGGTCCTTCTAGACGATTACAGCGCCAGCTTCGGGCTAATGGTGGTGGTGATCACCACGTGCCTCGCTGTCACCCGGGTATATGGTGAGAGGGGCCGGGGGAGGTGGAGATGAGGCTCCCCACAGTGGGAGATGGGAGTCTACCCTGGAGCCCCCCAGCAACTGGGTCCCTGGTCCCAAGGGCCAGGGTTTCTGGTGGGGGCCATTGGGGTGGAGGAGGGGCTACTGGGTGTGGGCGGGGCCTGTGGGTGGGGCCATCCTCCTCTCCTCCCCCGTTCAGGCATCCAGAGGTTCTGCCGGGACATCCACATGATGCTGGGCTTCAAGCCGGGCCTCTACTTCAGGGCCTGCTGGCTGTTCCTGTCTCCAGCCACGCTCCTGGTAACTGGGGTGGGGGAGGGCTGCTGGCTGGGGGCCCAGGGCCAAGAGCAGGGCTCCTCTGGGCATTCAGTGTGGTAGGGCTTCCCTGTCCCGGAGTGGACCTCTGTCAGAGCCGAGAGGTGGGCTGGGCCCCAGGATCAGCTCTGCTCCCCTTCCCCTTGATGCCCCCGCTTTTGTGTCTGTGCCCACTCTAGTCCTGCATTTGGTTGACAAAATGAGTGAGGCTCTCTCAGGCCTCAGGCATTAGGGCTGGGGCCTTGAAGTTTCCCTCTCTCAGCCTTGGCTTGCAGTGGGTCAGGGATGGCTGTCTCCGAAATTAGGGTGCTTCAGAGCTGGGCTGTCTCAGGGCTGGGCATTGGGTGAGCTCAGAGCAGAGCTCAGGCCTTGCCAAAGCTCCAAAACAAACATGGACCATCTCGGGTCTGGCTCTGGTACCTCATAGGACTGGGCTGTCTCAGACACTGGCTGTCTCTGGGCTGGGCTTTCTCAGGCCTTAAGGTAGCTCAGACCTGGGCTATGGTAAGCCCTGGGGCCAGCCCAAGGCCCACTGTGATGCTGGGAGCCCCCTACCTGCAGGCCCTGCTGGTGTATAGCATCATCAAGTACCAGCCCTCAGAGTACGGCAGCTACCGATTCCCAGCCTGGGCAGAGCTGCTGGGCATCCTGATGGGCCTGCTGTCCTGCCTCCTGATCCCAGCTGGCATGCTGGTGGCTGTGCTTCGAGAGGAGGGCTCGCTCTGGGAGGTGAGTCAGCTGTACCCCTGCCTACCCCCAGCCTTGCTGACCTGTGGCCTGGCCCTGGGCCCACCTGCTAAAACAGAAAACATTTGCACTAACACTGTATCCAGGGCCTTGCAGGCTTCTTTTAAGAGCAATTTGTCTAACCGGTAGCCTGAGCTATGAATCAGCTCAGACCCACTTGGGCTGAGATAGGCTGGGCAGGCCTGCCCTGTGGCCCCTCATATCACACAGGGCCACTGAGGGGGCTCAGTCCAAAGCCCACCAGTGTCAGCCAATGCCTGCTTGTCTTAGGGAGAAGACAAGGGACCCAAGGTCCCATGGTGAGTAAGGCAGGAGTAAGGACTTAAACTGTAGTCACCAGCCCAGAGCTTCCCTTTGGAACTCAAGGTCAGATGGCAACATTGGGGAACCCCAGGCAGTGGGCTGTCACCCTCCTCCTGTGTCCAGGAGCCCTGCCGTGGCCCACAGGTGACCTGGGAAAGGGATGATAGCATGAGCCCTCCTCACGGCCAGGGCTTTGTGGAGATACCTGCAGGGATCTGCAAGGGGAGTAGTGAGCTTGCTGTAAGGCTGTGTGACCACAGAGAGATCCTGCCCCTCTCTGAGCCTCAGGGCCCCCTCTTTACATAGAGACCTCCACCTCTCAGGCCATGGGTGTGCAGTCCTCTGGTGGCAAGCAGCTGTCATCATGAGCAGAGCCAAATGAGCCTGCTGGCCCCAGAGAGAGCCTAGGGACCCCCCTCCCACCCCTACATCCCATCAGATGTGCGTGGGATCCAGCTAGTACTGCCTCGTGAGAGCTGATTATTAAATATTCAGGAATGTTGTTAGCTAGTTATTAAACCATTCATAGCTTGAGGATGACACTGGTGGGAATATTTGTACCATTGAAATAGGCTACAAGTCAGGCCTCCTGCACCCTGCAGCCCCCTCCCCAGCCTGCTGCCGGCACACTGCTGCCCCCACTCTCCATACAGCTCTGCTGGCCCTCAGCCGCCCTCACTCACCTTCCCGTCTCCACCGGGACAGGCACTCAGAAGCGGGCTGTAGCCGCTTCTCAGAGTAGTCCAGACACTACTCTGCCTCCAACTGCTGCGGAGGCAGAGTTGGAAAAGTTGGGTATCACACAGGGCTACTGAGGGGGCAGGTTCAGAAAAGGCAAGCCCCTTGCCTTTTCCGAACCTCAGGAGCCCCACCTGTGCTGCCACAGGAAATTTGTCTCCTTGCTTGAGAGTCAGGTGTCTGAAAAGGGGAGGAGAAAGAGGGGCTGCTCAGGGTGATGGGCTCCATCCCCTTGCCCCCAGAAGCTCACAGTTCCCAGGCCTTACTGTGCCTCCCCACTGCTCCGCCACCCCAGCTGCTAACAGCCGGTTGGAGAGGCGTGTTGTTGGGGGGTGGTGAGCGCTGCAGGGGAGCTGTTGCCCAGCTCCACAGCGCCACCTTCGGGGACCAGTGCTCCAGTCCCTGCAGAGACCTGATCAAATGGACAAAGGGATCAGTTACCAAAATCTAAGGAGAGAGCATTCCAGGCAGGACAGTTAGCACAAAGGCCCTGAGGCAGGAGGGGCTGGCGTGTTTGAGGACAGCAAAGAGGTCAGCGTGACTGGATCAGACAGGGCGGAGCACGGGTGGCAGGAGCTGAGGTCAGGGAGGTGGACAGGGGCCAGGACGGCCAGGCCGTGGCGAGCCCTCAGGATTTCATTCCAAGTGCGATCACGAGCCCTCGGCAGGGTCCTGAGCAGTGAGGTCAGATGCTCTTCAAAGGTTCTGTGTGCTAGGCCCCGGGCTAAGGGCACTGCACACATTCTCCCGTGAATAGGCACCCCCCGGGCTCCACTTAATGTTGGTTGTGTTTCCTCCTTGAAGGGTCTGGGGCAGGGCAGAGGGCTCAGGGAATGTGGTTTGAGGAAGCAAGAACCCGAGCATGTCTGGGTTTAGTCATCGTCTTAGTCAGCTACCTCCTTCCATGGAAACTGGGGCTCGGCGAGAGAAAGGTCAGACATCAGAGTCAGAATGAAGCCAGATGCCCGAGACGTGGAAGGCCAGCGGTGACCACCCCCCAAGTTTTCCCCATGCGTGGCTCCTCCCCCCACGCTGCCAGCTCCGTAGAACTCAGCTCCAGAATGGGCTCCTGCACTGGCTGTCGTGTAGTCACAACCACAGCCACCGTCTGCTGGGCCTTACTCTGTTCCCAGTGCCCTGCACAACCCTAACTCGGCCTCATGCATCCCGAGTTACAGACGAGGAAACAGCTAAGATTCTGTGCTCAAAGGCCACCCAGACCAGGAGTTCTCCCAGACTCCTGGCAGAACAAGAATCTCATACAGGCATGTGACTCCCTCCCTGGGGTGAGCAGCACAGCTCCCATTCCCGAGGTTGTTGTCAGGACTAGTCCAGTTGATGTGGGAAGGTCTCTGCCAGGTGCCCGTTCCCAGGAAGCACTCCTGGAGCACGACCTGTTTTCACTGCTGTCTTTGCTCTGCTGCAGAGGCTCCAGCAGGCCAGCCGGCCCACCATGGACTGGGGCCCATCGCTGGAGGAAAACCGGACAGGCATGTACGTGGCCACGCTGGCCGGGAGCCAGTCACCCAAGCCGCTGATGGTGCACATGCGCAAGTACGGGGGCATCACCAGCTTCGAGAATACCGCCATTGAGGTGGACCGCGAGATTGCCGAGGAGGAGGAGTCCATGATGTGAGGAAGGAAGCAGGTGGACCAGAGGTCCCGCCCCCGTGCAAAGGAAGCTATGCCTTCTAGGATTCTGTGAGGCCTGAGGCTTCAGGAGGTTGCCATGGTGATGCAGGCCCCAATGCAAGTCCTTCTTTGTGGCCTCTGCCTTTCCTGAAATCTGCCCCCATGTGCGTGCGTGTGCGTGCACACACACTAGAAAGCTGAGAATGACCCAGCTCAGCCCTCGTTTCACAGGTGGAGAAGCTGAGGCCGGGAAGGAGGACTTGCCTGAGGCCTCCTGGCAGGGGAGACCAAAGCCCAGGCCTCCCGACCAGCCAGGCCCCTTTCTCACGGGGCAGCTCTCACCACCCTCCCGTCCATGTGCAGGGCCCAGACCCCATCCTTTTCTCAGGGAGCCTGCCCTCCACTCTCCGTCACAGCCAGAATCTTGAGTTGGTCAGGGAAACTCAGGGCGTCTTGAGCCCCATCAGGCCCCAGGCATCGAGGATTAGCAAGTCAAGGTGGGGAACGACCCCTGTGGGTTCAGGTGCTCGGCCAGGTTTCCTGAAGGAGGTGGGATCTGAGGGCTCTGGAGGATGGGCAAGTTTGGAAAGGGAGGAAGAGGAGGGAAGGTGGGTGGGGAAGGCCTCTGGGTAAGGGGCAGACCCAGCCGAGGCCTGGATCCCACTGTAGCCTCTCCCTCCCCTCCTGGGGCCAGGAGGGGGCTGCCTGCCTGGGCCAGAGACCAGGGGCAGAGCAGGAAGAGTGGCGGGAGGAGCAGTCACCAGGTTACAGCAGGTTCAAGGAGCAATGAAAACTGCCAGGGAGGGGGAGCCAGGGACACGGGGTGGGCAGGGGACTTGCATGATCTGTTTGTGCTTTAGATGGAGTGTTGTTCTGGGGCAGACTAGGGGGACAGGGCGGAGGAGAGGGGCCTGTGGAGAGCAGCAAGAAGGGCCGGTGGCCCGGGCTAGGGTGAGGGAGGTAGGGGTAGGGAAAGAAGAAGGACCTCCGTGTAGGGAGCCCTGGACATGCCCACGACAGAGGGGAGAGATGCCCGACCCGCACAAGCTGTGGAGATGGGAATGAGGGGCCATAACCAAGACTCAGGGCCCCTCTCTTCCCTTCTGCCTTGTCCTGGTGGTCCTCACTCTATGCCCCAGCTCCAGGCACTGCTGGGAAATTCTCCTTGGCTGTGAATGATCAGGGCAACTAGGAAACTTGGAGATGGCCCACATGCATGGCTGACTGGTCTTGTCGCTGCCCACTGTGCTCCAGAACATACGGGGCCCAGGCACGAGGGGGTGGAGACAGAAAGCAGAGGGCAGCGAGCCCCCAGGCCTGGGGCCGGAAGGGGCTGCCCTGGGGTCTGTCCCTCCCTGAGAGATGAGCATGGGGTGTGCACACGCCCGAGCAGGTCTGCTGCTGCACACGGTGAGCCCCAGTGGAGCTGTGCCAGCCTCTGCGCCCGTCTCTCTCCCGGTGTCTCCCAACCCATCTGTGTTCTGCTGGTTTATTGTTAATAAAACCCAGTGAGGTCATCCTGCTGACCCTGTCTCCTCACTGCCGAGAGCCATGAGGTGGGCAGCACAGGGCTTTCCAGCTCCCTTTGGACAGATAAGGAAACCGAGACTCAGCTGCCCCCGTCCTGGCTCTCCTGGCTTCAGACACTTCACTCCTCTGTGGGGTGGGTGGGGCTGAGGAAGAATGTTGAAGAAGATGAGGAAGGCCCTTAAAGACCAGTTCGTTCCCCATTGTACGTATGGACAAGCCGAGGCCCACCGAGGGGAAGAGACTTGGTCAAGGTCGCTCAGCTGAGGCCGGCAGAGCTGGGGACAGACCAGGCACACCAGCACTCCCCTCTCCCTCGCCAGCTGTTCTCCTGCCTTCTCTGCCGGTGACTCTGCAGCAGGAAGACCTGGGTTGGGAGGAGCCCGGGCTGGAAGGATTTCCTGGTTCTCCCCACCCCCTCCTGCCACGACCTTGCCATATGAAAGAGCTTTAGAGCCTTTCGAATGTGAGGCCCAGGTGTCTGCAAAGGCTTTGATTGGGGGCCTGCATGCTGCATATTTCGGATATTAATAATTTCCCCTAACAAAGGGCCAGGCCTTTTGGGGGCTTCCTGCCCCTCTTTGTCTGGGGCTTTACTGGGGGAAGAGAGGTGGGTTTGCTAATTTACAGAGGATGTGAGAATGGACCTCACAATCAAGGTGCTTCTTCCCACACCCAGGGGGTGGGCTCCAGCCTCACTCACAGAGCCCCTGGCGCCAGCCCTGGGAGTGACTCTGAGCCTGTGCCTCTGTCCCTGGTTCCCCCCGCCAGCACTAGGACAGACCCCAGGCCCGGGCCACCATGACCTTGTACAGACTCTTCACACAGCTGCATCTTGGGAGTCAGGAACAGAGGATCCTAAGTCCAGGCTTCCTCCTGGATTCTGAGTCTGCGATTGCGGGGCCTGGGAGTCTGTGGACCAGCCCCAGCTCCACCTCCCACTCCCTCACCACCCTGCCTTGTTTCCTCCTGCCTCTCCTCCTCCCTGCTCACCACCCTGCGGTTCCTGGACTGCCTGCCCTGGCCCAGTCTCCTGGGCTGTCCTGCTTTTCCCATTTCCGCTGCTCCCAGACAGCCGTCCTGCCACACCATCTCCCAGTTGCTCCTATCACAGCCATTTGGTTGACCCCTGGTTTGGGACAGCCAAGTCCCAACCATGATGGGAGCTGACTAGGGTCCAGGGACCCCTGGCTAGAGGACTCCATGACAGCAGAGTAGGCACCTGGAAGGAATCACAGCCCCGTCCGGGGTAGAAGCTCAGCCAGGAACCCTGGACTGTCCTACCAGCTGATAAAACCTGGTGTCTGCAGGACCAGGGAGGGAGCCTGGGGGTATAAGGCTGCAGGTTTTTGCAGGAGAATAAGTAGCAACTGATGGTTAGTGGGTACTGGAGAGACAAGATGGGGCGGTGGGGACTGTGGTGAACTGGCAACGAATGCAGGTTGCAAGATATCTTGGCTTTGTAAGAGAAGTTGGAAGCCTGAGCTTTTATGAGAAATTTCCCATTTTTAAACACGAGCAATGGATTCAAAAGAGGTAAACCAGCGTGGTTCCCATAGGGTCTCCCGCCACCTCTCTGCATTCGCAGAGGGTGAGCAGCCGGAGGGGCCAGGCTTGCCCCAAGTCCTAGGTGGGAATGTGCTGCCGTGGAGGCCAAGCCCAGGGCGCCCCACTCTGATCAGCACTCTGTTCTCCTCCTCAGCTTATCTCTGTGTCCATAGTCCCTTGACCTTGAGGGGTTGGTGTCAGCCCCTGGGGGACAGTGTCTGGGTCTGGCTGGGGTGTGGCATAGGGTACCCGGGGTCCCCCATTCCTTCTCCAGGACTCATCAGAGAAGGCATTCTCTCGGGCAGTGCTGGGAAGCACTGAGATGGGGCACTGGACCGTCCGTAGCCTCTTCCAGCCTATGATTGGAGAGCAAACATGAGGGGGCGGGACAGGGAGGGGAGGGGCATTTTGTCATTAGGGTCAGCCATATTCCCAAGGTCAAGTGAGGGTCAACAGAAAAAACCAGGGGTCACAAGGGTCAGTGTTTGATCCTCAGCAGCCTGTGCCCCCTGTGTTCCCCTCCACTGCCTGGCCAAGTTCATCCTCACACGGTGTCCTGAGCAGGCCTAGGATGCTGATCCACTGTCTTCCCCGTCCACCCATGGGCATCCTGCCCATTCTTCTGGGCCTCAGCCCTACGTCTGTCGAGCCCTGACAGCCCAGCCCACATGCACAGAGCACTTCACTTGCATCCTTCTGAGACACCCCATTTTGTTTCCAGGTGGCTGAGACCCTTATATCATGCTCCTTGGACACCAGAGGGCTTGGGGTGGGGTGTGTGGGCTGCTCGGCCACACAGACCTGGGTTCCTTCCCAGCTCTGCCCCTCCCTGACAACGTGTCCTTGGGGACCCACCACACCAACTCACGGCTTTGCACGATGCAGCATCTCGCCGAAAGCAGTTTGTTGGTGGCTCTGGGAACAGCCAGCAAAGAGTTAGGACGGCCTCAGTCCCTCTGAATTCCACGTGACCCTGGGTTGCTGAGCCTTCAGGTCTGCGGTGGACGCTCTTCTCCAGACTCATTTTTTGCTGGTGGGTCATGGAAAGTTTGGCTCCTTGAGCTTCAGGCCACTCCCTCTGGAGCCGAGGCCTTGCTGACGCTGGTCCTGCCCTGGAAGGTCGTCCAGGGCCTCCCGCCCTCCCTCCCTCGAATCCTTGGGCAGCACCCTCTTGCCCTCCCTGAGGGAGGACGGAGCAGCAGCCTGCTCACCCCGGCCACACAGAGGCCTCCTCCCAGCAACCCCATCCGGGATCACTTTTTATTTAGGGGAATAAAAATGTTTTCTTGCTAAAAAAAGGGTTCCACAGTGTCTGTGAGCTGCATCCCTCTGAGAACGGTAGTGGGGAGGCGCCAAGGCCAAGCTGAACGTCACTGGTCAGAGGCCGTCTCAGCCCCACTGCTCCAGACTGTGTGACGCGGCTGGATCTGCTCCTTCACCCCTCTGAGACGGGGTGAAGGAGCAGATCCACCGGTATCTTCAGGTACATAATGGGGAGAATGACTTTCCCTTAGCGGGGGATTAGATGAGATAATACAGATGCTCAGTGCGTATTTTCAACAACTGCTCAGAGTGCTTAGAGCAAAACAGGGCACAGAGAAACCCTGCAGGTGGGAATAGTTCTGTGAGCCTACTGTCCCTTGTACAGATAAAGAAACTGAGGCCCAGCTCCTGCCCCTGCCAACCCAGGGAGACGGAGGGCAGGGGTGACGTGCTTGGAGCCAGAGACGGCCAAGACGGAGACCCACGGCTCGCCAGCACCGTTCAGTCCCATGGCGCGTTGCCTGGGAAGCTGGGCCTCAGTGTGCGCATCTGTGAAATGGATGGGTGGAACGGAAACAGTGCGCCCCACAGAGGTGCCTCGGGGGAGAGCCGTGGGAAGAAGGGAGCCACCTGCCCAATTCGGCCTTCTGCCAGAGATCATGCCGTGGTGAACCACAGCAGGGAGCTGGACCCCCCTTCTTTGAAGCTGGATTTGGGGCTCGGCTCCTCTTTGGGAGGCTGGGTTAATGATTAGGAGCCCTGTGGCTTCTCCAGTGAGCCCAGATGCCCTGCCAAACCAGCAGGAGGTGGAGGATGCGGGGTGGGAGGAGGGTACAGCAATAAAACCCTCTGCGCCTCAAGCCTGGCTTTAACCTTGACTCTGCTGACCCAAGGTCAGAGTCACAGCTATGAGGGCTTTGGGGTGTCTTGGGAGTCAGAGGCAGGGGAGGGGCCTATGGTCAATATTGACCTACCTGAGTCAGGAGAGCAGGACAGGGAAGCGGGAAGGCTGGGGTGGGGCTTGCTGATAACTGAAACTTCCAGCTCCAGCGTGATTGTGGGAACCGGGGAAGGGGGCGCTCGATGCAGAATTCCCAAACTGGGTGCTTACTAAAACTACAGCTGTCTGGAACCCTGCCCAGCCCTAATGTAGTCTACTCTCTTGAGGGTAGGGCCTAAAACATCTGTATTTTTAGCAAACTCCCTGGGTGACTCTATGGCAGCCAGCCCAGTTCCCTTATTTGAGGACCACTGAGATCCAGAGAGGGAAAGTAATTCACCCAAAGCCACACAGCAGGGGTGGTGGGGGTGGATGATAATTCTCCCTTTTTTCTTGGGGGAAGGAATAGTCTACCTCTAGAGAGCTCCATCCACCCCCAGCTGTGGCTCAGGGCCCAGGAAGGGATGGCAGGGCCAGGCTGCGCAGAGGGAAGTGGCCTCTGACCTTGGCAGGCCCAGATGGAAAGGGAGGGTGGGGCTCATCCAGGAGGAAGGACAGGGAGAGGGGGCCATTCCCACAGGACTGGACCTGCCCAGCCTTGCCCTGTGCAAACACTCCCAGCACCTGCTGAGGGATGTTTCCTAAAAGATCTACTAGGACTCCAGTCTGGGGAAGGCCGACTCCATTGCTGGGGACCCACCCATGCCCTCAGCACAGTAGATTGAGGCACACTCGTGCCCTGGACATTTCTCGGCCTCCTCAGCCTCCTCCCAAGCCCTTTCTTCTGGACCCTTCAGCCTTTCCTCTGCTTTCCACCCACATCTCAACCTGTCCAGCCCCTCACAAAGCCTCCCCAGAACCCCCAGTTGCTGCCGCACTCCTCCTGCTCCTTCTTCTGGTTCCCCCATGCTGTGTACCTCCAGATCTGGCTCTCACCCCTTCCTGCCCTGAGTTCTGGTTCTCTGTGTGGCTCTTGCTCACTTGGGTAGTGTTGAGGATTCCTGAGACAAGAGCCCAGCTTGCTACAGCCTGGTCTGGAAAGTACTCAGCACGGCTAAGATTCAGAATCTCACCTCCCTCCCTGACATCCTGGACCACCGTGGGCTGGTCCCTTCCCTGTGTGCTAGCTCCACAGACTCCTCGTTCACGGAACGGAGAGAAAAGGGGAGCCCAGGAGAGGCTGAGCGCACACAGGGGGGCGGCAGTGTGGGCCACTGCTCTGGCAGAGGTGGGAGTGGCACTCACACCCCCACGGTGTCCAGTCCTCCTTCATTCCAGCAACAAGCATCTGCTGGGGGCTGCTCTGTGCAAGAGCAAAAACGCCTGTTGAATGTGGCCTAAGCGCAGACAAGATGCTGTCACGACTCCCAGGAGTGCCTCGGTTTGCAGATGCTTGCTCAGGTGGCTTCAAACCAGGGGGCTGGGGAAGATGGGTTGTGGAAGCCCGTAGGAGGGCCGAACCCAGGGTGTGCTGGGAGAGAGCAGGAGACTTCCAGAGAAGACACCAGTGCTGCGTCCTGAGGATAAGGGGTGTTGAGTTGAGCAAAAGAATGAGGGGTAACCAGCCCTCTCCAGCAGCTTTTGGACTATATGGGCAGTGAGGAGGTAAGCCTGTGGGTGTAGACAACTGAGATATGATGCAACAGCTGGAAGGGGCAGTGGGTCCAAGACAGGGGTTCCTGAGAATCCCAGTCACTGTATGCCGGCTGTCAGAGACAGCAAACAGAGGGAGCGGAGACCCTGGGGGAAATGGAGCTGTGCCCTGGAGCCCTGGCCGAGTCCTCTCTGCATGAGTCTCATTGTCTTCATCCTCAGAACAGTGGCTATCGCAACTGGGACTAGAGTGTGGTGAAAGGCCTCGAACTGTAACAGGTCATGTTCTATTAGATAATAATGGTGTTTAGGTGGAGCTGGTACTTTTTGAGAGTTCAAGGATACCTCCCGAGGTCAACTGGGAGCGCCCACAGCCCAGAACACGGTTGCCCCTCGGGGCACAGTTCATCCCATAACCTGCTCCTGTGCTTCCACCTACTGGCAAGTGTCTGCAATGGCATCCCAAGCCTCAAACCCATCCTCCTGCCTCTGCAGGAGAGCCAGGCCTTCTGAAGGCAGAGCTGGGAGGCCTGGCGCTAAGATTTGCAGGTTTGAGGGCAAGACTGCAAATGGAAGCACCCAGGTCCCTCTGCAATCAGCCTTGGCCTCTGCTCTCACTGTGAAGGCCGTCACGTGTGTGAGGGTCCAAACTGGTCTTCAGGAGCTCTGAGGCCTGGGGGCTGGTCTGTGAAGTCTGGCTGAGGGAAAACAATGGGTGGGGAGGAACTTCTTCTGAAACAACCTTCTCCTTATACAAGGAACGAGGCCTGGAGGAGACTTGCCCCAGGTCCCTGAGGGGGACTTTGCTGTTTCCTGATTGTGACAACCGCTTTGCTTTTGTTAAGGGCCCCCGTGTGCCTGACAACCCTACCCCTGTCTGTAAGATTGGGGAATGTGGTCCAGGCATAATTTCACAGTGATTGGCTCAGCCTTGAGCATGTGACCAAGTTGGTCCAATCGGAATGAAGACCTGGGTTTTTATTTGGCAACTGGGGAGATCTAGAACAGGAAACAAACCACCTCCCAGTGTGGGCTTGAGCTGGACAAGGAGACAGCGTGCACATAAGTTTGTAGCTATTTATTGCACTGAAAACACCAGGAATAAAACAGACGCCCCTCTTTCCCCCCTCCCCCCCCAATAGCAGAAAGTTTGAGCAGTGGTCATTCAAGTTCACAGCCACGTATTTTTAAAAACAGAAAACAAAACAAGAAAGAAAAGAAAGAACCAAAACAAAACCCCAAACAGATAGTAACAAAGAAACCAGCACGGGGAGTCTGCAAACACATCCCCCCAGGGGGTCTTCCCTTGAAGGGAGACAGGAGGCCATGGTCAGGGTTAACGCCACAGCGGGCATGAACCCGGGAGAGTACTTTCCCGTAAACGTGTTTGCATGCTGGGACCTAGCTCTTGTCTTAGGTCTAGATTTTTTGCATCGGCAGGATGTTCTGAAGGAGTACGGAGTTGGCTGTCTGGTGAGGGTGGGTACTGGGCTGCTCTGCCTGCCGTCTGCCCTGCCTGCTACCTCAGGATCACACTGGTGCCCTGCGGCCCACACCTGCTGGCGGCCCACCCACGGGCATGGCCTCTGCGGTGGGGCCATCTCAGTCTGGGGTAGGGACGTGCCTCCACTTCCCTGGTACTGAGAAAGGGACGCAGTGGAAGGAGGTGTGTCAGCAAATGAAAGGCAGGACATTGGTGTCCTCCAGCTCAGTTTGTTCTTGTGGGAAACTGAGGACCAGAGCAGGGAAAGGTCTTGCCCAGGGTTAACACAGCCAGTCTGGTCAGAGGTGGGAATGAAATCCTAATAACCCCCAAACCACAGCTCTTGCCCCACAGTTAGCTGCTGAGAAGCAGTTGACAGGCACCAGAGAGGTGAACGAGGGGGCAGGCGGGTGAGGGGACTGGCCGGGCTCAGAACGGAGCAGGAGTCCAGCCAGTGACTAACCCTGTCGGTTCTCACAGACGTGTTGGGCTTCACCTCACCACCCCATTTGATCCCCCCTCAGCCCTGCCACATAGGCTGGGCAGGACTATTTAACCTCTTTAACTGAGGGGGGACACCGAGGCTGAAGAAGGGACCAGACTTGGCCTTGGTAGTTGCAGCATCCCCTGGTGAAGGCCAGCCTTTGGCTTGGAGGTGGCCGTGGGAGCTAGCAGCTCACAGGGAGGCGGGCAGCTTTGCTGCTGGGATGCTGGGATCACCGGGCTTTACTGGGAAGCCCTCTGGGCCAGGGGCAGGTGAAGTGCCCACCCCTGAGCCTCGGCAGCAGGGTCTCTGCCAAGGCTAGTGGCCAGTGATCGACCAGTTTGGAGACCAGGAGGCTCGGGCAGCCTCTTTCCTGGCCTGTGGCCCCTGGCCGGCCAGTCTCACCTGTCCCCAGGGCGGCAGCAGTTGAGAGGAGAGCCCAGTAGACAGCCCACGATCGGGGAAAACTCAGGAAGGTCTGGATCAAACATCCCCATCAGTCCTGTTCCATCCGCCACCCAGGACTCCGCAGAGGGAATCAGTGCCTCCTCTAAAGCCGTGGGGATGTGGATCTTCCTCCCCTAAAATCCTCCAGAGGGGACAATATCTCATGCTGGCAAAACACGGCCACACAGAGGCCAAAAGCACAGAGAGGCAGCAACATATTTCCGAGTTGGACACTGAGAATACAACCTCTATTTCTTTTTTTTTGTGTCCAAAACATGTAGATTGGTTTTGCTGAGTGTTTTTTCTTCTTTTCTGGGTTTTTCAACATACTTACTGCATATAAAGTCATGCAAAGAAAACAGTGCAGACAGCAGATCCCAGCAGACGCGCCAAGGCTTCCACATCAGAGTCCATCCCGGGGAAGAGGGCGCTCGAGACGAAGAAGAGAAGGAGGGAGGGAGCGATGCGAACCCGCGGCTGCAGGATGGGGTGCAGGATGGGGCGTGGAGAGCAGACGTGCCAGGGCGCTGCTGGGACCAGCAGACACCGAGGGGGCGGGGCGGACGAGGAAGACGCTTGCCGATGAACCGCCCCCAGAGACGGGTGGGGTGCTGGGGGCGGCACACGGATGGGGCGGGATGACATCCTGGGAAGCGTGGTAGTCAGGACCCCGGGCTGGGAGGCAAGCAAAGAGAAGTCCAGGTGTTTCCATCCTGACGACTCCCCTCGCTCCGCCTGCCCTGATTTACTGGTGCTTCTCAGCACTGACACCTGATCTGGTCCTCAAAGGAACCTTGGGACCGAAGTTGCAGCGAGGTCCTTCCTGCGGGGGCTGAGTCCCGCAGCCGGGGTCACCATTGGTGACGAAATCCATCTCAGAGATGACATTTAAAAATAAATAAATGAAAGAACTAGAACAGAAAAAAATCATCCTTCTGCCCTCTCCCCACCTTCCTTCCCAACCAACCAACCCTCTTCACACGAATCGAGAGGTCTAATTTTTACATAAATATCCATTAACGCAAAATCCATGTACGAAACACACAGGAGTTTGGCTGTAAAAAGGCATGCGGTCCAAGTAGTGATACCTAAACATTGCTTTCTTTTGCCCCCAAAAAGCAATCAGGTTTTCTCCCTCAGAAGCGATGAAGCTGGAATTCCCCGGGCCTTAATGGGGGGGGGGCGGAATGGGCAGTTAGTGTTGGAGGTAAACGTCAGAGAAGGAGGAAGGAAGAAAGTGGGGGCACCCTGAGAGGATCGCGCCCCCCACGCCGAGGGAGGGAGAAGTGGCGGGCGGAGCTGTAGGGGGAGGGCAGGACGGGGGAAGAGGTCGGGAGCCAGGCTGAGCAGGAGGAGGCTCCTGGCATCCGCTCCTCTGCCGCTCTCCCACGGCGGGGGGGGGGCGGTTCCCTCTGCCTTTCCCGGAGGGGTGGGGGCGGGGGGTGCGCGGTGGGGATCCCTGGAAGGAAAGTGATCAGGGACCTCCCAACTCTGCCTCTCCTTCTGCCCAGCCCCTGGGTGAACGCACAGCTGGGCTGGCCTAGGACAGCCGGGTCGGGGGGCCTGGGGGCCAGCTCGCAGGGCACCGGGGCCTGAGGAAGCTCTGCCCTGGCTGGGGACAGAGACCGAGCGTGCCAGGCGGGAGGCGGGGAAATGTGGCCATTTGCTCTGAAGACACGGAGGCTTTGGGGGGCGAGTTTTCCTGATGCAGGTATGAAGGAGACGGTGACGGTGGCGGTAGGGGGCGATGTGACTGGGGGAATTCCAGCAAAATCCGAGGCGGGAGAAACAGCAGCGACGTTCCAAGGACGAAGAGCAGATCTCTGCGGTACCGCGCCCCAGCCGGGCCCTTCAGCTGGAAGACACGATGTGTGTGGTGGGTACGCGGGTGCATCTGAGGGCGCCCCGTTTTCCTCCGACAACCACCCGGGCCTTCCTGCCTGGATGGAGTTCAGGCCGCCACCTATGGGACCCGCCCAGCTTGTCCCCGGGAACCCGCACGCCTGGTCTCCTCCGGTGGTCCTCTGGCCCCGCCCCACGGACTTCCTTTGGCTCGTCCTAACGACTGACGGATGGCAAGAAGGAGGGGCTCTTACTGGGGCAGGACAGAGGGCGCCCCAGATCTGTGGAAGTGGACGATCTGCCATTTGCCGTCCCGGCGGTGCCAGACACGGGTCTCCTCGGACTGGGCCGTGCGGGGGATGCCGCCGGCGTCCAGGTACTGCGTGATGCGTATGTAGGCGATGCAGGCCGACTCGTCGCCCATCAGGTGGATGTGGGGGTTCAAAATGGTGGTGTGCACGGGCTTGCTGTTCCGGGACCACACTGCAGGCGGGGATGGGAGCAAGCAGAGCGGATGAAACTGGGGGGCTTCCCGCCTGACTTCCTTCACTTCCCCAGCTCCCAGCCACCCCCCCCCCCCACCCCGTGGAGGCCCCTCTGCCTGCCCCGTTTCCAGAGGAGCGGTCTCTGTGACAGGGCTCAGCTGCCCCAGGGGGGCAAGGCAGGACTTCTAGGTGACTGGGTCATATCCCAGCTTAGATACAAAGGATCTCAGGCACCCCGAAGTTGTCAAGTCCGGGGAAATGGAATTCAGAATCATAGTGCCCCAGACACACAGAGATATAGGACGAAGATGATTATAGAGTCAAATCAGTTTAGACTAGAGTTTCAAACCCGGCTCACTATGGAGGCCAGGCAAGTACATGAATGAGGGGCTGAGCCGGGTATAAGATGCTAAATGACAGCTGACAATTTTTGCCTCTGGATCAGGGAGACAATAGGGAGTGGTGGAGACTGTGGTGAATTGCTTACCATACCCCATCTACAGAGGGAGCCCTGTACACAGCTTCCCTGTTAGCTGCTACATGGGTGACTGGGACCCATGTTGCCCCACTTTCTGACTTTTCAAGAGAATCTAGAAATATGGATTTTTATGTGGGGGCATCTCATTTTTAATTATTGGCCAAATTTAAAACATTATGCAGGCCACATAAAACATATATGCAGTCCAAATGTGGCCTGTGAGCTGCTCATTTGCCACCTCTATCCTCGACATGTAGAATTATGGAAACTTGGGCAATATTAAGATGGTTGACTCTCACAGTCTTAGAGTTATGTAAGGGTGGCGCTTGCGGTCATGGGGTGCAGTCATGGAGCATTTCAGGGTAAGGGGGAGATGCATAGCTCTTACAGTCATGATAGAACCAACAAAAACATCTGAAGCTTTTTCTCTGTGGGAGATATTAGCCACCATTATTATTATTATCATCATCATTATTATTTATTATTTTACCTATTCTGATTCTAGGAACTCTTCATGTTTTTTAGCAAGATAGAGAACAAAGACACAGAGAGACGATGACCCAGCGAGGGGCTGGACAGGGGTCACAGGCATCTTGGGCTCCAGAGCAACCCCGTGCTTTTCCTTAGCGTCGCCCAAACGTAGGTCCCAAACACACAGACAGCATGTTTGCACCCTTAGAGGTGCCAGTCCCAGAGTTTATAGCATCGCCCTGGCCAGAGTGGCTCACTTGTTTGGAGCATCATCCCATAAACTGCCAGTCAGGGCACATGCCCAGGTTGCGGGTTCAGTCCCCAGTGGAGGCACCCACAAGGGGCCCCTGTTAGGGTGTATATAAGAAGCAACCAATTGATGTTCCTCTCACACATCCATGTTCCTGTCCCTCTCTTCCCCTCTCTCTAAAATCAGTGGGCATGTCCTCAGGTGCACATAAAACAAATAAAGCATTTAACAAAAACAATCTGTAGTATTAAAAAAAACCCTCCCATCTCCTTTCCCACCCTCTCTGATTCTGATGCCCAGCCAGGTTTGCGAGTCACTGATTTCCTGAAAAATCTGGAATGCCTTTTTTAACTTTCAGGACTGCAGAAAGCCTCCAATAGTATCCATTCCTAACACTATAATCACATTCTACTCAGGCTTTGGATAAAGGACTCAGAGTCACGGAGTCTTAGATGTGTAGACAGACTTTTACAATTCTGGGCTTACAGAGGAATGCCCAGCTTTTATGTTGTAGGCTTGGGAATGACTCAGAGGTCAGAGGTCACCCAGGGGCCCTCCTACAAAATCCAAGGAGGTCTCCGTAAGCATCCTCGACAGCACCCAGGGCTGAAGGCACTTAAAATGATCTAGTTCAACGCATTCATTTAGCAGATCTGGAAACTGAGGTCCAGAGAAGCGATCTAACTTGTCTCGAGCTTGGCCAGTTTCTAAAAGAAATGCAGTAGGACCTAAAAGAAGTCAGTCTCCATGTGGGACTGAATTAGAACAATCTAGAACAATCCCAGAAGGGACAAACAGAGCTCGACATCATTGAGGGCACTAGGCCTTGCTGCTCTTGACGAGGGTGGGGACCCTGAGGGGCATCTGTAAAGAAACAACCACCCTAATGTGCTCTCTTGAATCCACTGTAGGCTTTCAACATCCACCATAGGGGATAGCACGGGAGGAAGAAGCCAGGTGCTCCAGCAGGAGAGGGTAGGCAGGAGGGCGGGGCTTGGCCAGAAGTGGGTGGGTACTCTGGGTCTGGGTCTCATTGGCCCTTTGGTGTGAGCAAGCCTGGAGTTTAGGGGGCTGGTGCTATGATCTGGGCAGAGTGCCTAGATGCTGGCCAAGGGCTAGCACAGGCTCTCCCTGTGTTCTTTTCCCTTTTCCCGTCCCTGAGCCTGGAGAGTCAGTTCAGCCTAGTCTCTGCTCTGCTCCGCTCTGGGAAGACTGTGAAGTGCACACCGGGGACCAGCACCCCCAGAGACAGACCAGTGGAGAGAGCGCTGCAGTGATCTGCTAGGGGGCTCTAGGGCGACGGGCACCACTGGGGGCCCAGCCACCTCTCTTCACGTGACAACTCAGCTCCCACTGCTAACCTTGGAGAATCAGAGTTTGATCGACCGAGGAGAAATGCAGCTTCCTTCTTCACAGCTCTTTGGGGGCATTCTTGAGCCCCTGTACTCTATAAGATTCAGTCAGCTTGGGTGCGGGCAAGAGCGTCCAGCTGGTGGCCACAGATGCGGGGATGAGGGCAGCAGCAGGTGGAAGGGACGGGCGCTGGGGCCAGTCAGGACCGGGGTCTGCCACCGACTTCCTGGGTTCTTTTGGACAAGTCACTTCTCTCTGGGCCTCAGTTTCCCCTTTGGTGTGGTGAAGAGTTGGCCTAGATTCTACTTTAGTCACTTAAATTTCACCTTTATGTTAACCTACAAGGGCCACCCGTACTTCATTAAAATATGTTCTTAAATCGATGAGCATTATTAGTTTATATCAATGTATTTTACAAGAAAACTTTCTGGCACAATCATTAGTGAACGCCCAGTATCACAGAACACAACTTTCATAAGTCCAGTGGAAACGAAATGAAGTTACGGAACCCTAGCTCACACTCCTGCCTGCGCGAGCTCTCAGCCCGAGATGCTGCTCTCTTTGATGAAGAGGGAAATTAGAAAGCGTTAAGAGGCATTCGAGACAGACTAGCACCCAACGGAGCCTTTGCCCTTGCTGGAGCCAGACGTATGGAAAGAGAGTCTGGAAAGGGACCAGCGTTCTCACTGAGAACCAGTGTGGTTCTGAGTGCTGCCCATGTGCCCTGGAGTCATCTGGGGGAGCCCCAGTGGCCCAGGCCCTCCCTTTGGAAGACCCTGGATATGTCACCTCCCAAGGCCTTCCTCCAGGTCCTCAGCTGCATGATCCTAACTTGCAGACCCTAACTTGCAGGGGCCCCGTCTGACCCCTGGCCAAGGCGAGACACAGTGAGAGAGTGCCCAAGGTCAGGCCCAGGCTCAGCCCCCAACAGCCCCTGGGTGCAAAGCTACCGGGTCTCTCCTGCAGAGGTGAGGCCCCGGAAGGACAGACATGCGGACAGAGACCTAGACAAACAGGCAGGGCACAGCAGCATGAGTTCCGGGCCTCTCTTCCTGAGACTGCCCACCCAGAGGGGGACACTTGCACAGCAACCCACGAGCCAGCTTGTGACCAGTTGGGTGTTAAGATGACTGGATCTTGGGTGTGTGCCCTCGTGGGGAGGCTTTCTTATTTGTAAAATGGGAATAAGGCCTTCCTGGGGAGGGTCACAGGCAGGAGAAGGCTGGGAGGGCTGGTCACGCTTCTCCCAGATCCCCATCCTCAGCCACAGGAGGGACAGCTGGCAGTCGGATATGCCAGGGTTAGGAGAGGGAGCCACGGCGGTACCGACCCCTGTCCACATGGGATCTTCCTCTTCGCTGGCTGCTGAGCCGCCCTGGGTGCCCTGCCCGTCACCCTGCTGTGCCATCCGGCAGGACATGGAACAAGAGCAGACAACAGGCCCCCAGACAGAAGGGATTGCTCACGGTTTTCAAAATAGAATCGATGGAAGTCCAGGCCCTCGACCAGGTTCCCCAGGGCCTCGGGTTCGAAGGCTGTCATCCCGGGGTCACACATCTTCCTGGCGGGAGGAAGTCAGAGGAAAGAGGGGCTGGGGTGGCCTCTCAGCGCTACCCTCTCATCCCGGGCCTGGACCCAAGGAGGGTGAGCCTGTGAAGCTGGAGTGATTGCACCCACCTTACCAGATCAATGAGGCAGATGGATGGGAAAGGGGCTGGAGAACTGTGCAGTGTGGGGCATCCCTGCCTAGTTGGCGCCATTTAGAACTGGGAAGCCTGGGTTCAGGTCCTGGCTCTGCCATTTTCCCAACAGGTGGCTTAACCCCTCCAAGCATTCATTCATTCTGCATGAACGGCGTGCAGATTCTGCCCTGCACGATTCAGCCTGGGTGCTACGCTCCAGATCGCATCCCATCCTTCTCTCTCCCCAGGGCAGCAGATCCACAAGGGGGATTTCCTAATTTGTCTTCCTGGGAAGGAGACGTTTTCCTTCATATTAAAGTGACTTTTGCTCACCAAGAAGGGCTGTCCTTGGACAGGGTGCGTTTTGCTACTTTAAGCAAAGATGCCCTACTGTTAGCAGCAGCCCCCACTGTGAGCCTCTTTCCTCTTGTGTAAAATGAGGAAAAGAGTGGTCCGCAAGGCAATGCCCAGGAGGAGGGGGCTGGGGCATGGCCCGGGAGGCCCTGGGCCAAGGGTTTGCAGGGCAGTGCTCCCTTCCACGTCTCAGCCAGTCTCCCGGCAGACCCTGACAGCTGTGTGGCGGAGGGAAGAACTCTCTCCCCTGTCCCCAGGTCTCCACAGCACAACATGGACTCCTGTGACAATGACAGTGAAACCAAGGACAGAAAGTACCCCAGGAAAACCGAAGATCCCATTCTGGGGGTGGCGGTGGAATTGGGGACGATTGGAGGAGGGTGCCAGGCTCAGCAGTTTCTGAGCTGGACACCACGGCCAGTGCAGGGTGCTCTGTCCCAGTGCTGCCCTGACTGTCCTGTCCCTGTGACCCAGGCAACTTGCTTTTCCACTCAGGACCTCGAGTTCTCCAGGTGGATTAGCCCGGGGCTGGGAGGCTGGGCTCAGACCACAGGGGATGCTCAGGATCCTTTCAGCAGCAGAATCCTCTGAGGCTGGGGACTGAGCTCGAGCCTCCGGGAGGCTGAGCACCCCCAGCGGGGAAGCCCCTCTCCAGGAGGTCCCAGGGCATCCCCGCCTCCGGAGGAGACCACTTGCTCCAACTGCACTGTGCATGTAGGGCAGCCAAGGCTCAGATACGAAAGGACTTAACCAAGATTACACAAGGCCAGACCCAGGGCACCTCAGGCCCCAGAGGTCACAGTAAGGGGTCAGAACTTACAGTGAACTACAGATGCCAGAGGCGGTGACATCACAGAGGTGGGAGCGGGCCCCAGAAATGTCACTGGGATGCTCAGGGCCCACGGGACCCACCTCTTTCCCTCTGTCCCTGGCTGTGCCCTACCAGAGCCACTCTCTGGTTCTCCCACGACTGACTTAACTCTCTAGGGCCAGGACAAAACCCATTCAACAGCGCATTCCCATGCTCTGAAGCAGCACCCAGTGCACACACACCCGGGCCACCCCTGTGCACACAATGCAAATGTGCATGCCAGGACAGGTGCATGCGCACACAGGTACAGGCAGCCTCAGTCTCACACCTGCACCTTCCCAGGTCCTGTTCCTCCAAAGACCACCAGTAAACTGCCGGGGCTTTGCCACCCGTTGCTATGGAAACCCTCCTACAGCGGCCTGCCAAGCCTTTGGGAAACACACTTCAGCTCCTGGGCATAATGGAAACCAGGAATAGGCTGCCCAAGGAGCAAACCCCACCTAGATTGTTCCCACTTCATCTGAACCCAACAGGTAGGGGTCACTATGCTTTAACTGGCAGCCTTTGACCACTGAAAAGTATATGCGGGGTCTCCAGACCCAGGCCTTGTCAGCCCTGGCCAAGAGACTGAGGCTTCAGCCAGGGATCCTGCTCTCCCTAGAGCCAGCTGAGGGCAGCAGGCTCAGAGCCTGCTTCTGGACCAGACCAGGAAGGGCGTGTGGGTGACCACCAGGGGGCGCTCCAGCCCAGCCTTTGCACCCAGCTGCCCCTGCAAAGGCTGGCCCAGGTGTGTAGGGAACATCTTACACCACCTTTCATTGTGCTATTTTTGTGCACACTGCCTTATTCTCCGGAGGATTTAAGGTTCCATTTTGAGGTTCCTTTGCTCACCCTTGCTCACTGGAGGTGCATACCCTGTGGACTCCTGCCCACCCCTGCCCAGGTGAGCTCAGAGGTCTGAGGAGGTCCGGGTTGAAGACCCAGGCCCATGCGGCAAGACTAAGGAAGGGCCTGCCTTCCTCTGCTCCTTCCCAGCTCATCTCCTGGGGGACTCGATATGAGGGGCAGCAGGAGCAGGACCAAGATATGCAGAAGCGTTGTGAACAGAAAGCTTAAAAGCATAAAGTCTGAATGCCAAGCGGAAAGACAAGTTCATTCTGATTCACAGCACATGCAGAGTGAACGACTGGGGATCAGAGACGAGGACCCCCGAGGTCAGCCGCCAGCCCCTGAGACAACAATCCAGGAGGAGGACATGCAGGATGGTCTCAGCCAACTCACGTGTAGGACTCAAAATCTCCATTGCTTATGGCTTCGATCAGCTGCTCTGTCACTTTTATAATTTCCTGTTTCCGCACTGCAAGGCAGGAGGGGACACAGAAATAGCAGCAATCGTGACAGTAATAAAGCACCAACTACCATTTCCTGAGTCCTCCTCATGTGCCTGAGGGCCCCGTACACACTGCCTCATCTGTCCTCAGGGTAGCTGGGAGAGGTAGATGGCATCACTCCCATTCCACGGAAGCAGCTGAGGCCTAGACAGGTGAGAAAGGTGTGGAGGTTCCCTCAACTACAAGGACAGATCCAGTGTCTTAGCTGGCAGCCTCCACCTCCAACAAGCAGCCATGGTGGGCATTCCGACCTAGACCTGTTTTTGATTCCAAAATACACTTCCGTCGCCTCGCTTTACCCCATAAATCAAACAAGGCAAGTGTGGTGGTCGCCACTAGCAGTCACAAACTGGGGGCTCTCCTGTGGCCCAGACCAGGCTGCTAAGGCAGGTCTCAGGGCTTACTCATTCCTTAGGTCTGGGGGAGCCTTTTGCTCCATTGGGGTGCCTGTAGGGCACTGAGCTTTCCAGAACTTTCTAGGCATAATGAATCCCAGTTGCTGAGACCTGGCCTCCCCTGCCATCCCTGAAACAACATGAACAGCTGCTGTCTTTCTGGTAGAGGAACAGACATCAATTTTCTCAGTGGGTGTGTCGAGTTCTGAGCCCCAGTGGCCCCATCTGTAAAATGGGGACACCATCACCTCTCCTTCGTTCAGTGCCACGAGTGCCGTGGAAGGAACCCAGGCTTCGGTACCAGACAGGCTTTGTCTAAATTCCAGCCCAAACCCTTACAAGGTGGGCAACTGGGGGCTGTCCCATGAGATGACAGTGTCCCCACCCGGGGTGGGTGTGAAGGTCGGGGGACGGGACGTGCACAAAGCACTCAGACCAAAGCCTGGCACACAGTAGGTACACGATGCAAGTGCCATTTGCTACACCCCCCTCACAGCTGCCACAGCTGCTTCTCGTGCACACCCTGGGAGCCGGGCAGGGTCAGTGTTCCCACCCGACACCCGAGGAGGCTGAGCCTCAGTAGCGAAGGAATTTGAAGTCAGGTGTCCTGGCTCCTGGAAGGACAGTCCTAGGGAATGGACACGTCGCCCATTTCTCGGTCTGGGAATGTGGGACAGAGATCTTGCCTGGCTGAGGCCCTGTCCCTGACCTTTTCCTCACCCCCACCCAGGACACCCCACCCCATCTCACACTGGGGAGCTCCCCTCAGACCCAGAGGACACAGTGTCACAAAACAGCCAGGCTGGAAGAACCCCTGGAGAGCAGGGACTCAGCCTCTTTACCAAACTGCTGGGAACATACAGGCCTGGCAGGGGGTTGGGACTTGTCCAAGGACACAGAACACATAAGGCGCAGAGTCGGCTCCCAGCCGAGGACCTTTACCTCAGGCTCCAGGGCCCCGCCACTTTCCCTGTCGCTTCGGGCCTGTATGCTGTCTATTCCCCAGCTCCAATATGGGCTTCGTGGAGGCTGGGCCATGGCTGCCCTTGGCGACCAGACCCCGGGAGCCTGGCATGGGCCTGCCCCGAGTTGCCAGGCATTGTGCTGTGTGCCCAGCCTGCAGAATCTTACGACTCACGGCACACCTTCGTGTGGTTATCACTTCCACCTCGGAGACGAGCGAACTGGAGGTGAGAGTAGTCAAATGGTCTGCACCGGGGCACCCACCACCCAGCATCTGCAGCTCCAAAGCCCATCACACGCCCCCACCCCCACGCACACCACCGCCCCTCAGGCAGGGGCCCTGCCCAGCACAGTGCTTGGCACATGGTGGGTGCAGCAGACATGTCAGTCGGCATCTTCCATGTCTGTACCACCATGAATGATGAACTATTTCTCTCTTGGCTCCGCTGTGAATCATCGGGGCTGGCAAGGGGTCCCTCTTAGACTCTGAGCTCTGCCAGGTCACTCTGGGGCCTTGCCTGGGGCTGGAGCGGAGGCAGCAGGAATAAATGAGTGAGTGGCACCAAGCCAGGGTCAGAGGCTGCCGTCTTTGCCCTGTTGCCTGAAATTTCCTAAGTCACCTGGTGGCCTCTACCCCTGGGAACCCAAGAGCCCGGCCTCCTGGCCAACTCCGCCCTGCTCCATGGAAGCTGGAGGCTGAGGATGGGAGAAAACCCACTTCTGCCAGGAGACACCTCATTCCAGCCTCTCCCACATGGAGTCAAGGCAAGGACCCAGAGGGAGCCCATGGGCTCAGCACAGGCACGGATCCGGTGCCACTGCCCCTGCCTCCCCTGTTTGGAAGTCATTCCACAAGCCTGTGCTTGATGCCCTGCCCCCTCTGGGCTGCTCTCCCTGCCATCTCAGACAGGCTAGCAAAGCGGTCAAGGGCATGGATTTTATAGGCAGATTCCCTGAGTTTGGATCCTGGCTCTGCCTCTTAAAAACTGTATGACCTTGGGCAAGGGATGTCCCCATGCCTCAGTTTCCCCATATGTATAATGGAGCTACTAACAGTACTTACCTCATGGGGTGATTCTGAGGACTATGCGAGTTAAGAATGTGTCAGAAGAAATAGCTGGTACATATGTGGTCCTCGCTACGAACCAGCTACTATTCCAAGCCCTTCGTATCAATGTCTTTATGTGATTAATGATGCTTTAACGATGCTTTATGTAAAGCACTTAGAGCAGCATCTGGTGCTCCACAAGTGAGGGCTCTGAGCATTGTCACGTTCAGGTCTTTGAATGGGAAGGTCTTCCGGAGGACAGCCTCTCACCGCAGCCGGGATCCTTCCCAGCAGCCCCGCATGCGGCGGCTCAGTCTCGGTCAGCGTTTGGGGGCTCACGGCCTCCCGGGCAGCCTGCTGTGTGTGCTGTTGGGCAGCTCCTGCCATTGGCGCCTGCCCCCTCCTTTGTTCAGGTTGAAATCTGTCCCCCTGAAAGTCCCTAGTTACTGTCCTTGTCCCTTTCTGCCTTCTGGGGCCCTGCGCTGAGTGCCTGCCCCCTGCACCCTGGACTTAGGCCCTTCCCCGCCAGCAGTCTTCTCAGGGCCGAAGGCCTCCAGGATGTGGTTTGCAGGGTCTGACTCAAGCTGGCCATCTACTCTCCCAGGTCTTTGGGCGATTGCTGAGTGTAAGCACGCAATTCCGGGGTGGCGTGGATGTGACAGAATACCAGGCCGGGAGTAGCACTCCATATCCACTCCACATTCCGGACACTATGCCTCTATTAATGCAACCCGAGGCAGTGCCTAACTTGGCTGTGCCTCCAGCCACTCCGGACACCAAGTATGCCAGCAGTCAAAGCCTAGCAGGCAGGAAGCTCCCTAGTTTCACTCTCTGGGACAAAAGATCTGGGGATCTAGCACTCCGTAAAGCAGGAGAAATTCACTGTGGTTCTGGGCCCTTCCCACATCCTCAGCAATCCCACTGCTGGGTGAGGGGTTCGTCCAGCAGCTGTACAGACTAACCTATGGCATTTCTGTCTGCCAGGCATTCATTTGACAGTGCCGGAGTGCCCCGCAACAGATGGGAAAGCCGGGGTCCCAGAGAGGTTAAGGCTCTCTCTCCAGGCCACACAGCATGCCAAGGCTGAGATGAGACTGGCATTTCTGGCTGACAATTCCCAGAACACCTCTGCCGAGATGCTGAGGTCCTTCTTTGGGCAGCAGAGGAAATCAACTTTCCCCGGCGCTGACCAGGAGGAGGCAGGGGAGTGGGGAGAAGCCCGGCCGGGCCCAGCGGAACTCGGGGGGGGGTGAGAGGCCTGGGGATGAAGCCCGAGGGGCTCTGAAATATTAATGTCCCTTTCTTTGCACAGGGGAAAATGTCCCCTGGAGGACGACATTTCTCATTAACTTTAATGTGAGCTCAGAATCCACCCCACCAGCTGCTATTCTCACTTAGGAAGAAGGCTTAGCAAGTTAACACCAGAACAGGGCTCTCTGAGGCCTCGGGAAGGCACAGGGCTCCTCTGCCCGGCCGAACGTGGGGAAAGCTCCCGGGTGAGCCGGCGCCACTCCCCTCAGATACGGCCTTCCTGTGTGGGGAAACTGAGGCAGGAAGCAGGGCCCAGTTTGGCGTTAAGGACCCTGTGTGCCCTTCCTCATCCACGAGCCTCAGATTCCCTCCTGGAAAAGGGGCCCGGGTGAGCTAAACAATGTTCAAGACCCCAGACTTCCCATCCTGCTCTCTCTGAAGCAGAGGGTCGCCTTGGGAAGGTGGGTGTTCCAGGGTGAAACCCCGAGGGGTGTCTCCCCAGGCGGGAAATGCCTTTGGCAGCTTACACTTTGCATTCGTAGCACAGACAAATTTCGCCTTCTCTTCTAAATAGTTTCCTGTCTGTTTAATCTAGAAATATTTGCCTTGAAATACTCTTTCAGTAAAATTGATGTTCCAAAAATGTCCTGTGGCTTCCTGTCAACCACAAGCTCTAGTTTAAAAAAAAATTAAGATTTATTAAACAATTACCATGTGCCAAACCCTGTGTAAGCACTTTATATTTAGCCTCTCATTCCATCTTCTCAGCAGTCCTCTCAGGTTGGAACTGTTATCATCACCTCTAAACTGTTAAGGAAACTGAGGCTCAGAGAGGTTGAGTAAGTTGTCCAAGGTCAACCAGCAAATGGACCCCAGTGAAGAAGCACAGAACTAGCTTGCCTCTATGGTCTCCATCTGCTCTGAGACCAGGATTACAGGGCCACAGCGTGTCTCCTCAAACTCAGTTTTACCATCGATATAGCGAGCCTCAAATACGGGGACCGCCTTAGAAACACCACGTCTCAGCCCGACACTAAGCTGCAGAATTGGAATGCACAGGGGCGGGGCCAGAATGTAGTTAGAAAATCATTCTGGGAGGGACTTAGAACACTGACGTGGCCCTAACAAGGAATTCTGGTTTTTTCCCTGTTGCTCTCCCTTGCCCCACCACCCCCACCCACTGGAATTCTTCTTCAAGATAATACATTTCTTAAAGGTTGTCACTAATGCCTTCATAGAAAACTGGCCTGCTCTGGTGCCAGGCTATGGCGTCAGTCACCATCCCCCTCCCCCAGCTGGGACTGACCGGAGAGGGACATGCACAGGGCGGGGCTGACCTTCCAGGGTATCCTGGCAGAGTCCGGAGGGAGTCATGGCATTTACTGTATCAAAACAGCCCAATAACCCGGAATTGCAACTGTGCAAAAATATTTATTATGAAACAAAATGCTCTTTCCCCATCATTGTATTCTTTTAGAGGCAAACTATCTGCACGACTGAAGATATCTAAACATCTCTGGCCCAGGCCCCAGACTCTCTGGCCTCCCTGTCCTAGCGGGATGCGGAGGGCTGGGTGCAGACAGGACGCAGACTGTCCCCACCTCGTCTGAGGGTTTGGTGGCCCCTGACCAGAAGACAGTGCTCCGCCCTCCCTTCCCCACGCTGCACGCACCACGCTGCACACACCGCAGCCTCCAGGGTGGTGGTTGTGAGCCGGGCCCTGCAGCCACGCTGCCTGGGCTCAAGTTCTGACTCCCCCCTACAAGCTACGGGACCTGGGGACAATCGACTCAGCTCCTCTGTTTCCCAGGCTGTGGCACGGGCTTCGTTCCAGCACCCACCCCACAGGGGTGTTACGAAGTTCGGGTCGGGGTGAAGTGCTGCCTGTCTAGCCCACAGTGAGCACCCCGAGGAGGCTGCCATTGTGCCCACTGCTGTCCTGACTACTTCCTCTCTGGCTCTCCAATCACACGAGGTTCGCTTCCTCGTCCACCGGAGGGCTTTTGAGGACAGCCAGTCCCCGGCCACAGTCCCTCCCGCATTCTGGGTTGCTCCTGGCAGCGTGACCCGTACCTCCCATGCACCTGAACTTTCTGCATCTTGGTTTTCTCTTCCCTTACGATGATTACAGCATGTTTTTAAAAATCAGCACATTTAAAAAACGCGAAAAACGTGTACTTCCAAAGGAAAATACATACCACTAGGATACATTTATGATGTGAACATGTTAAATTAATTTTTTCTGACACATATTGAAGTAAATACATAACCCCTGCGATAAGAAGCAGCCAGCTAGGCACCACCAGCGAGCTGCGTGCGCCACGTGGGGAAACGGTGTGCTCAGTCTGGAAGGAACCAAAGCGAGGTTCCGTCCAGAGGAGCAGGATGCAGGCTTGGCCATGGGGCTGCCGGTGAAGGGGCCCGAGGAGGCCTGGGGGCCCAGGTGCAGAAGGCGAGGCCCCCCTACCTTTGGTGTCTTCGTCCTCAATGGTGGTGTTGGTGCTCTCTGAGGATTCCTGCCGGAGAGAACAGGGAGCGGTGAGGCCAGCCTGGCCAGCAGGACGGGCGCGGCCCGTGGGGGGCTGCCCGGCTGCCTGATGCTGTGGCCCGGTCTCTGTAAGCCTCATGGGCTCTGACATCCAGATGGTCCCCTGAAAACCCTGACAGACCTCCGAGCCTAAGGAGAGGAAGGGCCCAGCTAAGCAGGCGGCTGCTGGCGGGGGCGTGGATGGAGGGATGGATGCAAGGAGATCCCTGGCCTTTCTGGAAGTGCGGGGAAGGGTTCCTAGGCTCTCTCTGCTTGAGGGAGCCGAGAAGAGGTGTTGAAGAGCAGAGAGGCACATGGTGGCCCCAGAATGGGGAAGGGGTACACACATTGGCAGAAAAGGAAGAGAGAGAGAGAGGGCGGAGGGAGGCCCAGTGCAAGAGAACTGGGCTTTTGGGGGGAGAAAAACCACACGAGCGAGGGAGACAGCGATGCAACCAGAAGAAGAGGGGTGTAGTCCACCGTGCCACCGCGGGAACGCCTAGACCGAGGCAGGGGCTGGCGGCTCCTCTGCCACCGGCGGGCCCTGTGGGGCCTTGCCCAAGAAGGGCCTCTCCAGCGCCCACTGCTTTGGCCAAACCAAGCCCCCCCCCCCGCCACTGCACCTGGCACAGACCGAGCCCTGAGATGAGTTCTAGACCGGAGGGCGGGAGAAGCAAGAAGCCAAGGGCTGGGTGTGGGATGGGGGTCAGATCGGCCTCCGTCCCCAGCGGAGCTCTCCGGCCTGCTGTCAGGCTGCTTGCCGGCCTGGGCCATGGAGGTGGAGGTGTCAACAGAAACACGCCAACAACACACACACACAACACACACACAACGCACAGAGTGTCACACGAGGCACACGTACCAAGCACGCCCTGAGCACCCTCTCCCCGCCCCGGGTTCCCCGTGCAGCCTGCAGGAGGGAGGCAGGAGCGAGGGGTCGAGGCCCAGCATTTACCGGCGTTTGGGAGACGGCAGACACTCACCATTAACTGAACGCTGGAACTGGACTTTCTTTTCTGGAAAAACAAGGAGAAGAAATGGGACAGGAAAAGACACAGCGTGAAAACGGCAGGGAGCAGAGGAACGGACGACAGGGGAGGTGTGGAAGGAGGATGGGCCTTGGGGTCGTCCTCTGCGGCCCCTTGCCGGTCCGGCACGGGGCGAGGAATCAGAGCCACCAGCATCGGCTGACTGGGCGGGGCCAGTCCTCTCTCCCAGCCTGAAGTTCTGGGGCCTCGTGCATGGCTGCCTGGGTCTCACAGTCCAGTCACCGAGCTCCAGGTCAAGCCTCCCTCGGACCAGGGCTCCCTCTGCTCCAGGCTCTGGTGGGGAAGTCAGCCCTGGGTCTCGGACCCGGGTGCCCAAGGCCTCCAGAACCCAAAGTCACTGAAGCACAAAGGGGCCCGACGTGTTGGGATGAGGACCGGTCTCTCCTCCTAGATTCCCCATGCGTCTCTGCTGAAAGGACCCCAAGCGTCATAGTCACTTGGGAAACTTGTCAAAAACACACAGAACCAGGCCCCTTCGAGGAGTTTGGTAACTCGGTCTGGGGTGGAACCTGGGGATCTCCATTTTGAACAATCTCTCCAGGATATTTCGGCGCAGGGCCGGGTGTAGGGACTGATCCTCCAGGCGGCCCTGGCAATTCTGCTGCGGTCACAGCTTCCCCGGGACCGGCCTAGCCAGCTCCTCTATGCTGAGAGAGACACCAAGGCACAGCCAGACCGCAGCAGAGCCCAGAATTTCGGCCCTCGGGCCCTGCCGTGCAGCCTATCCTGACTCTCGGCACGTTTGCAGCTTTCCCCATGTTACTGGCTGCAGAACCGAGGGGAGGAGAGAGAGGACAAATGTGGAGTGTCTTCTCCTCCTTTCAGCTCTAAGCCAGGAGTCTCAGAGACTCATGCTCATGGAAGCTCGCAGGTCAGGATGACACTTGGATTGTGCGGGTGAGAAACCGGGGCCCAGCGATGGGCGGTGATCTGCCGCAAGTCTCTCAGCCGGCTGCCTGCAGAGAGGAGGCAGGACCCCTGAGTGCCGCTATCTCCTCTGTCCAGGCCTCAGGCCCCCACAGCCTGACCACTCGTCAATGGCTTTTCCTTCCCAAGTGCATTCACATCTGCGGTCAGGAGGCTGCTCTGCTCACTGCACTGTGGGGAGAGTGGAGGAGACTGGAGATGCCCTTGGGGTAGGCCTGCCGGGGAGAGGCACTGAATATTCTCTGAGGGCCCTCAGGTCTAATGCTGGGCTTTCTGACTCTGAGATCACCGGGCATTTCCCGTGTAAATGCTCACAGGCTGTGCACCTGCGCCAGCTGGGCCGGACAGTGTGACTGCCAAAGCCAGCGGCCTACGGTCAGCCTCTCCTCTCCTCTCCTCTCCTCTCCTCTCCTCTCCTCTCCTCTCCTCTCCTCTCCTCCCCTCTCCTGTCCTCTCCTCTCCTCTCCTCTCCTCTCCTCTCCTCTCCTCCCCTCTCCTCCCCTCTCCTCCCGGAGTCAGCCTTGCTCCTGGAGGGAGCCAAGCCAGGCACAGAGTTTGTGGGAGGGGACAGGCCCTCTCACCTCAGCTGTCAGCAGAAACCTGAGGAGTGGCCCGGGGATGCCAGGAGGTTCCAGGCAGGACACAGGAGGCAACACAGAGCAGAGACTGCGTCAGATTCGGACGTACAGTGACAGGATGGGACATGGGGGAGAGAAGTCACAACGGCACGGATGGGACACCAACAGGGGCAGTGAGTGGGGCTGAGGGGTGGGAGCGGTCGGCCCCTCCTCACGGCAGCGGAGGTCCTGGGGTGCTGGAGAGGGGACATTGCTCCTTGGTAATAGAAACACTCAGTTCCCCTGAGTCACAAGGGCTGACGATAACCAATCGTAACCCCGCCCCGACCGGCAAGTTGGAGTTTAATTTTCAGGGGCTTTCACCACAAGGAGAGTCACTTCTCTCAGAACCGACCACGTGGAGAAAAGCCCGGCTCTGAGGTCGGCAAGGGTGGCAGGAATGAAGCATGGCCAAGATCGGCCTCGAAGAGCCATTGTAAGTCCATGACGTGCGGCGCTGCGGCGCGCCCCCACTCCAACGGGCCGGTTCCCTCCGGCGTTGGGACCAATCACTGTGTCTTCAGTGAAGCCCTGGGTGACACCGGCGGTGTGTCTCGAGGGCGACATTGCAGGAAGAACCTGTGTTCCCCCACTCGGGCCGAATGTGTGCCCGCTAAAGAAGCACAGGGTGACTCTGCCAGGCCGCGCCGACAGCTGCCATGCTCCCCTAGCACAGATGACAGAAGTGATGACTCAGGCCCCGAAGGGAGGGAATGGTGGGGCCCAGACTCAAACCCTTGGCTTCTTGACTGGAGGCCCAGTTCCACTCACAGAGAAAATAGGACCGGCCCCCCGAGTGACAAATTGCAGGCAGGGTGCCCCCAAGTCCTGGGCAAGGCCCCTGGGTGACTCTGGTCTGCCAGGTGGACTTCCTCCTTCTCCACCCCAAGGAAGGGAAGGAGGGTGCCGAGACCATCTGGCCAGCAACAGCCTCTGAGCTCCTGTTCGTCCACACTCAGGCCGCCCCGAGAAGTCACTCAGGGCCTGTCTGGGCTGCAGGAAGCAGGGCACTTTCTTCAGCCGTGCCCGCGGGGAAGTGCTGCGGTGACTAGCCAGAGCCCCAGCACGCCACGTTCTTGCCCCCGGCCAGTGTCCACCTCCTGGCCTTGCTGGAAGAAGAGCCAGACCAGAGAGAGCTTTGTTCCGAGACCCCGCCTGAGGGAGGTCCTGACCTCACACTAGGAGCTCTGAGTGAGCCTTTGCCATGGCCACACCCACGAGCCAAACAGACCAGGACAGCCCTCTCTCTGCCCCTTCCTCCTCCACAGACCAGCTCCTGTGGCCTCTGCCCCGTATCTCCCAAACTCCATTTTCCTCGGGGAACCCAGCACCCCAGCTAGAGCTGGAGAGAGCCCCGGCCACTCCAAACCGGACCACCCTTACGTCACACCATCCCCTCATCACCCTCTCAAATGGGGGACTTGACTCATGGGTAACCCAAAGCAGCAGGCAGGCCAAAACTCTGTCCTGAATTCCATTACAGCATTGGGGATGCACGTATGCGTGTTAACTTTAGAAACTGAGTCGGCTTTACGTCTGTGGACTACCAAATATGTTCTCGAGCAAACTTTGTTTCCAAGACAAATGTTAACCCGAAGTCCGGCATGTAGAACAGAGAAGATAGTGACGCTGAGCACACGTCCCGCGCCCTGCACCGTGCTGGGCCCTCGGAACAGCGGCCATCTCCCCTTGCTCAGGTGACCTTGGCTCTTGCTCACAGACAGCCCTGCGAGGCAGAAACCCCTTTTATCCCCACTGCGTGGACGAGGAGACGCTGGCTCAGGGGACCCGAGTGACCAGCCAAGGTCTGGGCTGCCAAACCCGCCCAGGCCCTCCTAACCATGGTGCTGGCTCTTACTTGGAGCTGCTTTTGTTGGAGTGGGCATGGGAAGCCCAGAACTTTCTCTGCTTGCCCCCCCCGCTTCTAGTCCCTCCCCACACCCCATCTGCTGCTGGAGGCGCCTCCCCAGAACCGCTGGCCTCCAAGGAATTCAGTTTGAAAACCACCAGCCTTGGCTGATCACCAAATAATTATGAATTATTCCCCAAGCACGCAAGATGAGAAGGCAGAGTGATTAGATAGGGTTTTGTTGCTTTTTGTTTGTTTGCTTGTGTGTTTTTAAAGGTAAAACCCTGGAAATCATGGAGTTCACACCCCTCCCACCCCACCCATTGTGTCTACGGGAAAACTCAAGCCTGTTGAGGGGAGACCCCCATCCCGGCCTCTGACAGCCAGCCCAGACCCCCACTCACGTAACCTTGACCGACCAAAGCCAGCGGCCTGAGACTGTAAATGCCACTACAAATGAAGCCACGAAGCCACCGTCCCACCTGGATGACTGTGTTTGGACAGCATCCCACACCTTCCAGTGTCCTGGGCCAGCCCAGCCCTCGGGCCCTGGCCAGGCAGGGCTCTGAGCCCAGAAAAAGGCGGGGTCTCAAGAGAGGAGGACCCACAAGGCGAGCCAGTGGCAGGGAGAAGGGGGCTGCAGAGAGTGGGCACCAGGCCCAGAGAGCAGAGGGAAGAGAGAGAGGAGGGGAGGAGGGGAGGAGGAGTCGTGGGGTGTGTAGGGAAGTAGCTCGGGCAGGGCATCGGGCGCGGGGTGGGCAGAGGGCAAGCCTGGGGGCGGTGCTTAGCGCTGAACCAGCAGGCCCCGATGGGGAGGGGCTACCTCTGGAACCAAAGGGGAGAGGCAGGAAATGGCTGTCCGTCCTCCACAGGCTTTGTGGGTGGGACTGAGGTGTACTTCGGGCAAGGGGTCTGTTGCAGCCAGCCCACTCGGGAAAGGGAAGGTTGCCCCTCATGACCATCTCTGTCCCTTCCTTGTACCCTCTCACTCACCAGTCCTCCGGCCCCGGAGCATTGCAGAAACCCCCTTGGGACCTGCCCCCCTCTTTGTGCCCGCTCCAACCCAAGGCCACCTGCCTCTCCCACCTGCTTTCAATCCTCCCCCGGCCCTGCCTGCCCCCGCCAGTCCCGGGGAGAGCGTGGGCACCAAAGCCCAGGTCTCTGGGTCTGCGGATGGCCCGGCTGCAGGAGTGATGGCGTCAGCCTGGAACACCGTCGGCAAGACCTGGGTCTCACCCCAGGCCGGAGAGCTGGGCCCTCCTTCCAGAAACGCCGGCAGAGCAGGCCCTGGCAGGCTCCCGGGGGGCTTACCTTCACACCATCATTCTTCTTGTTTCCTCCACTCTTCCCTCCTATGGAGGAGAGAAAGTAGAGGGTCACCAACACCAGGCAGGGCACCAGGGCCCACAGGGCGAGGAAGAGCAGCATCCACGGGCAGCCGGAGGGCGGGAGCCGGGGTGGCGATCTGGGGAGACCTCTTCCTCCTGCTTCTCCTCCCTCCTCCGGAGCCCGGGATTGCCAGCGGCCCACTAGGTGGGCCTGGGCTCCCCCAGTTCTTAGGGATCTCAAATGGGATCCCCCGGCCCCATGGATTGAGGTTGAGGAAGGTGTCCAATGCGTCCCAAGACCGTGGGTTTACTGTTTCAGCCTGGGGATTCCCTCTGGATCCCGGTCACCACCAGTGCTGGTGGTGGCCAACCCGGAGGCCCAGCTGCCCGGAGCAGGGCTGGACACTCCCTCCCCAACCCAGCCGGCTCTAATTTTAGCCCCACGCTGCTGCAGAGGTCATGTGTCAGCCCTGCCTACTCAAGCTGGACAGCTGCGAGCCGTGTTTTGCCAGTGACAAGAAGCAGATGCCCCCTTCTGGGCCCACCCCTGCCAGAGCACCCATCCTGGCAGAGGCTTCCCCACCCTCAGACTCCAGAGATCCAGGCTGGGGTTGGCTCTGGCTCCGGCAGCCGGGAAAAGCGGAGCAACAGATCTCAGGGAGGCCCCACCTCTGTCACTCCCCTTCCCCCCTGCCCCGCCCCTCCAGGCCAGAGCCTGTGGAGGGGGAGGCACCAGCTAGGAAGTGCCATGAGTGCCCAGCCCTCTCCACCCTGGTATCCAGCTGCTCAGACCTCAACCAAATGAGATAGGGTTGAATGAGATAGGGTATCTATAAAGGGCTCACTTAGTTAGCACTACACTTGACCTCTATGCCATAGATGCCCAGTAAATGGTAGCCACTTGTGCTTCTGTTGGTGGCCTGGAGAGGGGGACCCGGAGATGGGGACAGGGGAGTACAGGGTATTGCAGCCCCAGGGGCTTGGAAGGACAAGGCTTACAGTCTGTCTGTCCAGCTCCCCAGACACCCTCACATTTCCAGTGGCCCCCACCGGGCTGCCGTGCAAAGTCTCCCTCTCGTGAAGCAGGTGTGGGGCCGGGCGCCACTGGGTCCAGAGCCGAGAGGAACGGCTGGACTGGGCTGTGCAGGGGGCCGAGGGAGTGCTGGCCCCTCCGGCCTCAGGGTGGCCCCCTGGTCTCCAGTCCATTATTGTCAGACGGTGGGCCCTGAGAGACCACATATTCTGATTTTCAGGAGAAGACAGAGACCTAGGCTTCTCCATGAAATCTCCTGATGTTTAAGTGCTGAGAACTCTTTCCGAAAATTTTTTTTTGCAAACACCCCTGGCCCCCGCCTATGCACATGTAGAGATTGGACCTAACCCTCGGCACCGTTTTGCAAGTCGGGGATTAGGTTCTCCAGGGGCACTTGAGCTGTTAAAAAAAGACTCTGACTGTGCCGGTGGCTCAGGTTTCAGTTTAAGGAGCTGCAGGGTCCTTGTCTGGGGAGAGAATGGGAAGGAAGGCCCTTTGGCCGGTGGCAAAAGCCCAGGTCCAAAGTTCCAGGGTTTTCCCACCCCAGGTCTCATTCTTCCAGCTGGTGAAACAAGCAGGTGGGCCCTCTCCGAGAGGCCTGGGAGGTAGCTGCCTGGAGCTGCACCCTGGCTGCAGGGCCGGCCATGTGACCGCAGCAGCCCTTGCGGGTCCAGCCGCAGGCAGAGGGCCCCTCGGGTGAGCTTTGCCATATCTTCTAGGCTGCCCCGTCAGCCTCCGGGCTCCCCAGAGAGCAGCCTTTGGCAGCGCTGGCCCCAGAACCCTCCAGTGTGCCAGGGGGAGCTTCTTGCTAAACCCCGACACTAATCCCTTCCCCTTCTCTCTTCAGGGCCACACGCCACAGGTCACCGGGCACTCCCCATCCTGACCAGCCTGGCTCTGGCCAAGGCCAAGGGCTCCTACCCTGGACTCTGTGGCGACTCACCCTTGCACTGGGGTGGGTCAAACCTGCACTGCAAACAGGCTCTGCGTCCCCCTAGCGATGCAACCTGAGGCGCACCACGGTCCCCTCCCTGCGCTTCAGGTTCCTCCTTCAGAAAACAGGGATGGCAGTGGCCCGCACTGCCTCGTCCTGCAGGGCACGTGCGTGAAGGCGTGGGGACGGCTTAGCACAGGGCTCCAGGAACGATGGGGAGCAGGAACACTGCCACTCCCCGAGCCTGGCTCGGTCCCGCCTGGACCTGCACCCCAACATTCTAGAGGCCTTCCCCTCTAGCTGGCCTAGCCTGAGAACCCCAGCACTGCTGTGAGTGAGGGGAGACAGACAAAACCTCCAACCCTTCCTGGTGGGCCCTTAGCTTGCTGACTTTTGAACTTTCACCACTTCTGGGTGCAGTTTGCCTCACGTGAGCTAAGCCGCCAGTCACGGGGTCCTCTGGAGCCCCCACTCTCCCCAAGCCCCCTGGCTTGAGGGTGCCCAGAGAGCCGACGTGGCAACGTCCCCACCTCCTACAGGAGGTATTTGGGACTTCGAGGTCCTGCCACCTACCAGAGAAGTTCCTGGTGGCCAGCATCGTGGTGAGGATCGCTCCCTGAGGCAGGTAAGCGGAGAGGGTGCAGAGGAGAGATGGGGGCGGGGAAGGAGAGACAGAGAAACGGGTGGCGGGTGGGGAAGGAGAGGAAGGTGCTCCATTCAGACACAGAGCCAAAGCCTCCTGCCCCTCCATGTGTCCCCCCACCCCACAGCCCCGGGACCACCCCCACCTCCCTGGAGACATCAGGGTGAGCTCAACCTTAGCTGGCACTACTCCAGGGACAAGGCCACCCAAGGGGCAGATATTAATAGGCTCCAGCGGCCTGGCCGGGGCTGGTGGGCAGTCTCGGGCCACCTGTCCGTGGGGGCTGCTAAAGACCAGGGGAGTTTCCTGCCCAGGAAAGGACAGTGGCCCCCGCGCCCCTGGCCCCCGTCCTCCCACGGCCCACAGCACTCAGCCCCTCACTCTAGTGCTCGTATGCCCCTCCGTCGTCCCTGGGCTTGGGACCCTGGGAGGTTGTTGTGGAAAACCCCCTCCCGTTCATGAAGGTGCTGGGGCCCTTCAGTCCTGACACTGCCTGATTCGGACACTCTCTGAGGACGACAGGCCACGATTTTAAGAATCTCTCTTTCTGACATTTTGAGACTTCTGGGACTGTCCCCACTAGGGACTAATGGTAATCTTCCTGGCATCCTGTTGGCTGCCACCCCCTCAGCCCATGTACCCATCCTGTGCCACCATGCCAGGCTCGGGAGCAGTGGGGGAGAAGGTCCCCGGTGAGCTGGGGGCTCAGCATCTGTCACTCGGCATGCTGATGGCATCTCTGTTTGGACCAGTTGGGGACCCCTTGGTCGCTCTTCCCGCCTGCTCATGGGATCACTGGAAAGGTCTGGGCCAGGAGCCATCCCGGCCCTGAGCACACACAGCACCTGCTTGGAGGCCGGCAGCTCAGGGCCCCCCAGGATCCCTCTGTACCTTCCCTGGGGTCATGACCCGTACCCCAGTCTCTCGGCCATTCCTCTCCCACGCTTGCCAGCTGGCGCCTCACCCTCATTGTGGCCTCCTGTCCTGCCACATGTCACCCCCGAGCCCTGTCCCCAGCCATGCTGAAACGCTGCAGTCCCCCTAAGGGATCCAACGCACGCTTCCAGACTTCTTACACAGGCTTCTCTCTGGGTCTGGAGCATCTGCCCGCTCTGACTCCACGTCGCTCATGCCTGCCTATTCTTTGGGGTCTCAGCTTTAATGTGACTTGCCCAGGGAGACTTCCAGGGTCCTTCCCTGGTCCTTCCTTGGTCCTTCTAGACGTGGTGATGGCCCCGCTGTGGATACTCACAGCCTCGGGGTGTGTGATCACAACACTCACCACCGCCCCATAATGTCCTGGCGATGTGTCTGCCTTCTCCACCGCTCACTGCCCGGCCCGGACACCGAGTGTTCAACAGATCAGTGAAGGACAGACTCAGCGGCTCTCCTGGCCGCTGCGGAGACCCAGGCCAAGCTACTCCCACATCTGGGGGCATGGAGGGTAAGGACCTGTTACCTTGAGTTTTCTCCTGGCGTTGAACTTCTTCAGGCAGTCCACGGTCTCCTGTCTGTGCATGCAGGAGGCCACAGTGGACCGGTGCTGGAGGAGGTGGGAAAAGGTCCGTGAATGGGAGGCAGACGGACCCCAGGGCCCCCCAGCAGGGTGTCTTGTGGGTGTGGCTGGCATCTTGGGGGAGTAAGTCTTTGTTCTAGGGAAGTTGTAAACACGGCGGGGGCACCAGACATCCAACGCCGGCAGCACGCAGTCCTGATGCCAAACTCCCATTTCCACGTCCCCCCTGAGAACCACCGCATGCTCAGTGTCTCTTGGATCAAGCCTCCTTGGTCCCAGGCTGGGCCTGAGAAGCCAGGGCCAGGGCCAGGGCTCCATGAAGGGCTTAACCTTGAGGTCTGGAGGGGCTCCTGGGAAGGGTCTTGCTGAGGAAGGCTCACCGAGATCCAGGGGTGCTTGAGGGCCTCGGCGGCCGTGATGCGTTTGGATGGGTTGATGGTCAGCATCTTATTGATCAGATCCTTGGCTTCTGGGGTGACAGTGTCCCACTCTGGTGATGGGAACTGAAAGGGGCAGAGGGGCCAGGTTTGCCCAGCCTACCCCAGGCCACCCCTGCGATCCCCCAGCCCCTGACTGGCAGGGGAGCAGGCAGGGGTCCTACTGCCCATCCACTCAGGCATCCACAACCAGGAGGAGGTGGGACAAGGTCCCCAGACCCAAGGACAAATCAGAACAACGGCCAGAGGGAAAGGAGGCCTCCCTCTGTTCTTCTGAGGCTGTGCCTTATCTGGAGAGCAGCAGGCCTATGGTTATGCCCTGATTTGGGGACCGCAAGGCTGGGTTCAAGTCTGCTTCCTGGGCTGTGTGACCTTGGGCAAGTCACATGACCCCTCAAGCTATCCCCACAGGTGTGGTGAAGATTAAATACGGTATAAAACACCAGGCACATAGCTTGATAGAAACCAGCCATGTAGAAAAGCAGTATAGCTTGGTAGTTAGAAGCATAAACACTAGAGCCAAACTGCCTGAGTTCAAATCCCAGCTCTACCATTTCTTAGCCATGTGATCTGGGCAGTTATTCAATCTCTCTGTGCCTCACCTGTAAACTCAGGATAATAATAGTACCTATGTCATAGACTGGTGTGAGGAATAACTGTAATGATATATGGAAAGCATTTCGAAGAGTGTTCTATGCATGTGAGCTAATATTACTTGTGTGTATGTGGATTGATAGGCAGCTATCTAGAGAGAGAACCTGGCTCCTAGGACCTGCCCCCGACTTCTCGCCCCACTTTGCCGCTGCTTCTGCCTTCTGAGGTCTCCTCGACCAAACCCCATCACTCAGAGGCCCCAGTCACTAGGCACAGCCAGCGCACCACGTGGCCTCAGCCAGCCCTCAAGCTCCACCTGCCGTTCAACCCCAGCCCCACAGCTAGTAAGTGGCAGAGAGAGCTGCATGGGCTGGGAGGGGCGGTCATCCTCGGGTCCTGACCTCACTGGGCATTGGCTTTCACGGGAGGGGGCCCAGGGATGGCAGGGAGGCTGGAGAGAGGAGGAACACTCACATCATAGGCGCCGGCTTTGATCTGCTGGTACAAGCGGTGCTGGTCCTCATCCCAGAACGGGGGATACCCAACCAGCAGGATGTACAGGATGACCCCTGGGACGACAACCGGGAGGAACTTCAACCCTCGGGAGCAGGAGCAGTCGGGGAGGGGAGTGATGGGGAAGAGGACAGATGGCGCCAGCAGCGCTGGCAGCAGGGAATCGAGGGCCTTCGCAAGAACTCACCGCAGGCCCACAGGTCCACGGGCTTCCCGTAAGGGTCCTTGCGCAGCACTTCCGGAGAGAGGTATCCAGGGGTCCCTGCGAACCCTGCTCCCCAGACACACACAGACAGGCAGACACACACACAGAAGGTAAACCAGAGCAGGAGCCTGCTGGGAGGGGGCTGAGGGCTGCCCTGGAGAAACGGCAAAAACACCCCCTGCCCACAGATCGGGCCAGCGGCACCCCCAGACCAGCGCAGACAAGTGCATAGTACCTTGTCACCACCCCCACTCCACAGCCTAAGGCAGAGGTCATTGATGAATCCCAGAGTCCCTCCCAGGGGGCCCTGACTCAACACCATAACCTAGGACCATCCTCCCGGCAGCCACTGCCCATCAGTTGCTGGTGGCACTAAAGATGACACGTCCTTGCCGTCGGAGCCCCCAGCTGAGCTGAACCTTTGCCACTCCCCACACCTTCTAGGAGCAGGTGCTGCGATGGCAGGAGACCCGTCCCTAACTCTGGCGATACCCTCAGTCCCCTGGGCGGGTCTCTTCACCTTCTAGGCCTCAGTTCCCCCATCTGTCAAATGAGGGATTAGGGATTCTTATCTTAAACACCTCCCAGCATTGCTGGGAGCATAAACTGAAGCAATGAACACCCCTAATATTTTAACAAGTACTCATAACAGGAGTCCCTATTCATGGAGTGTGTGTGCTAAGCGGGGCTGGGCTCTTTCTGCTCCTGATCTCGTTTAACCTTCACACAGCCCCAAGGAACATCCTGTTATTATCCCCACTTTACAGATGAGAAAACAGGCTGGGAGAGCTGAAGCGAGGCCCAGGCACACACCTTGCATACAGCAGATGTGTGATTTGAACCCAGAGCTCTGGCTCTTAACCATCGACCCATATTGCCCATGAAAAAGTATCCCCAGATGGCCAAAAAGACACAGTGATGCCAAAATCTCAGAGCCTGCTGGGTCATCTGAGTGTAAAACTTGGTTTTAGTCTCCCTTTTAGTCTCTCTTGACCTTTTCTGGGTTTCTTAGCCTCTGCTCCTCACCTGTCAAGTCAGGGCGATAATCCCTGGCACTCAGGATGTTCAGGAACCCACAGAAGCCTCCAGCCCACAGTGGAGATGTATATGCATGTGAAGAAGCTAGGCACTGTTTCAGTCATAACCGTGTTCCTGCACCTGAGCCCCAGGGAGAGGGCAACACCCACTGACCCAGAGGCTGGGTGGACAGGGACCTTTAACTCTGCTACCTGAGCCCTGGTGGCGCAACCCCCTCTGCAACTGCCCCTGTTCGGGCAGAGGGTTCCTCGAGGCCAACAAGTCAACACAAGGCTGGCCCCCGCCACCCCCATCACCCCCAGCCCCCACTCACCGAACCATGCCTGCTGCTCCCCCTCTACCTCTATGGCCAGGCCAAAGTCTGCCAGCTTCACCGCGGCGCCCTTGAGCTTGGAGGCCAGCAGCAGATTCTCCGGCTTCCCAGGACCAGAGAGAGAGAAGAGGGGAAAGGCGGGAGGAAAGGGCCAGAGGACAGTGAGCAGATTCAGAACCTCACCTCCAGGGGCCTGGGCTTGGAGTGGAACAGCTGGGTAATGCAGAGGCACCTGGCCCCCACCTCGAGCTCCAAGCAGGACCCTGGGCTTAGCCTCCAGAGAGAGGACTACCCCACTGCTAGTCCTCTCTCTTCTGCAACAGGAAGACCCTTCCTGCACCAGCCACTCCCTCCTTCCCCTCCTCTCAGAGTCTGGAGCTGGGGCTAAGGTGAGGGTGGGAGATGGGGGGCAGTGCAAAGAGCCACCATCACAGTAAGAAAAAAGAAGTGACATCTATGCTGCCCCTATTATGTACCAGCCACCAGGTGAAGGGTTTTGCCTACATCACCTCATTTACCATCTCAACAACCTTCGGAGTAGGCATCACTGGCCCCATTCTCTTCAGGGGCCTCATTATATTCCCTGAAACAGTCACGCTCATTTCCACCTCAGGGCCTTTGCACTTCCTGGTCCCCCTGCCTACTTTGTTCCCCTCTGAGCTTCACAGGACTAGCTCCTTCCCTTCCTCTGACTCTTGCCTTCATGTTGCCCCCTCCAAGAAGCCCTCCATGACCACTCACTCTATCTAAAGGAGGAGCCCCCAGGCATCCTCTGTCTTAGCTCCTTGTTGTTATCCTCATAGATTTCCTTACAATTTGTACTGTTTTCCCCCATCTGTCTATGTGCCTGTTCATTATCTGTCACCCTGTAGTAGGTGAGTTTCTAATCTGTCCTGCCCATCACTGTATCACCAGCACCCAAGACAGCGGCCCGCACATAACAGACACTTTGTCATATGTAGAAAGAGAAGGAAACGAGGCTCAGAGAGGTTAAGTGACTTGACAAAGATCACAGAGTTGGTAAGAGATAGATCCAGCATCGAAGCAGAGTCTGGACCCGAGCCGTGCTCTTACCCTCTCTAAGCTGGGAGGCAGGGGTGGGGAAGGGGGGACAGAGGTCTCAGACATGCCACCTGGCCTCGGGGGTGTTGAGGCTGCTGCCTTTGCAGGCTCTGGAGGGCATGAAGGGGCCCCAGTCAGGGCAGAGAGGAGTGAAGGGTGTGGACTCTCCAGTCAGATAGAGAGCCCCAGCTTCTGATTCCAGCTGAGGAATTTGGATCAATTATCTCACTTCTCTAAGCTTTAGTTTCCTCCCTTAGAAAAGTGTGGATGATGCCTACATCCTGAGCTGGCAGACAGATTAATTTTAAACACCCAGTGCTTCACAGTGGCCTGCAGCAAGTGCTTGGTAAGCACCAGCACTCGTATTTTCTGCTTGGGGAGGGGGTGGGGCTCCAAGTCTCCAGAGACAGCTGGCTTCCTGGGACCCCCATCCCCACTGGAATTTCCAAGGGGGTCCCACATCTGACCTTTCACTGCCCAAGCTAGACAGGCCACAAACAGATATAGCTCTTTAAGGCCCCTTTTGTCCTCTGGGGACTGTGTTCTCAACGTGTCCTGGGTCTCGGTAAGCGCCCTGCCCTGATTTGATGAATGTGCCACTAATTATTCTATCCATGTGGCCTAAATTTGTGCCACCTCTTCTCCAGCCTCCTCCCATGCAGGGGCCGTAGCTATAATGGGAACAGGCCTTCCGGGAGAGCCACCCTGCAGTCTGGCCAGAGACCTTTTTGCCTGTGAGTCTAGACTGAGTTGCAGGGAGCTCGCCTGCGTTCAGGGGAGGAGCCATGGACTCCTCGTAACAGTCAGAGGCGGGCAGGGGTCCTGCACAGAGCATGTCACCCCAAAGAGGAGTAACTGGAGGAGGGTGCCCCAGGAGGGCACCCAGGGTGAGAAGGGCCTGGAAGTCCTATCCTGGGTGGGAAAGAGAACAGCCTGCAGGTGACTCAGGAGCTACTACTACAAAGCCACCCAAGTGCCTCCAGGGCTTTTCTGAGCTGAAAGATTGATCTGTGTGGCCCCAGTGGGTAACACTGGGGTTCATGGGGAAAATCCCCACAGCAGGAAAGAATGAAGGAACATTTCCCAGTGGTGCAGGGGCTACCCTGTGAGAAATGAGTTCATAGTCACGGAAGACCAAAAAGCAGAGGTTTGATAGACACCCAGCAGGGCCACCTGGAAGGAATTAGTGCAGAAGCAGGAGCTGGATTTTTGGCCCCAGACCACCCAGGACCTGGGATCTGAGGTCAGAGGCCAGGGTTCCAATCTTAGCTCAGGCACAGCAGAGCTGCACGTTCTCAGGCAAATCCCTGGGACTCTTTAGGCCTAGTTTCCTGCTCTGCAAAAAGGGAGAGATGTTGTGAGCTACTAGCTGCTAAGGCCATGTGACCCAGCAGAGGGGAGCTATGGAGCCTGCGCTGACCAGGCGAGGCTGCATAGCTGATGCCAACCTTGGACTCCACAGCTGCTTATGTTGTCCACCTCCTTCCTCAGGGGGTGGAGAGAGGGGGCTCCGGGGGCCTCGAGGCCTCTTTGTATTTCCGCCCACTCTCCACCTGCCAGAGACCTGGAAACAAGACTAGCAATGCATCTGTGGACCAGGCACTGTGCTGTCTCCTTTCACTTGCTGGCCAACCTGGGCAGAGGTTGCTATGGCAACCCCTGCTGTAAAGAAGCTGACACTGTGAGGCTGGAAAGTGGCCCTGCTGGGATCTGGTCCAGGCTGTAGCCAGTCTCGGCATTCTAACCGAGTCTCACCTGGCTTGGCTGGGAGTCGGGGGACCTGGGTCCCGAGCCCAGAAGCTCAACCTCCCTAAGCCCGGTTTCCTTATCTGAACAGTGAGGGAAGCATTCTCCACCCAGCCCAACTCGGGGAAGTCCAAGGGAATCTGATAACATCAGTGGCTCTGCAGGTGGAAGAAAGGGAAGCAGGCAGAGGAGCAGGCTCCCTGGGGAGCTGCACGCTGGGGCAGTCTCACCTTCAGGTCCCGGTGCACCACCCCCATCTGGTGGCAGTGCAGCACAGCCTCCAGGATCTGCTGGATGCAGTGGCTGGGGAGAGAGAGGCGGGGGTCACTGTGGGAAGCCGGGCCTCCCCTGGTAGGCGAGATGTCCTATGCCCCTCCCTATTGTCAGGCCACGCCTGGAACTCACCTGGCATCGGCCTCACTGTAGTACTCCCGGGCCACAATGTCCTCAAACAGCTCCCCACCAGTGACCCTGTGGAGACAAGCAGAGTCACCCTCCCACAGGCCCCAGGTGCCCCTTCTTGGGGAAGAGTCTCCAGGAAGCTAAGGGCAGGGCCTGAGGACCTCAGAACCACGGCCCCAAAGGGAAGGGCCCTGGGGGTGTAGGGATGTCACCTGCTACAACCCCCTTCCGGGCTTCCAACCCACCCTTTTTTTTTTTTTTTTCACTAACTCCCCTCCCCACCCTCCCCAGCTCTTCTGCCCCAGGGGGCCCAGGCTGGAGTGAAGGTGGGACCCTCTGAACACGTATCTAGGATTTGTTAGGTCCCTAGAAGCCCAAGGGCTAAGCCTTGTTTATGTTTTTTAATAGCCTTTGTTTTTAGGGTAGACTTAGGTTCACAGCAAAATTGAGGGGCACTTGTGATTGCCCCCCGCCCAGCCAAGGGACTGAAAGAGGTCATCCCTGCTCAGGCTGCCTCGATATGCACTGCACGTCCCAGGGGACACCCGAACTCACAGGTCGAAGATCAGGTAATGGTGTCCCTCCTCGGAGATGCTGTCGTGGAGCCGGACTGTGGGAGGAGCAAACGTAGCCAGTTGCGTGAGCTCACACGGTTCCCCACCCAGCCTTCCCACCCGGCCCCCCCTCCCGTCGTCCAATAGCCAGCATTGCAATGTCTCAGACACTGAGCACAAGCTAGGTACCAGGTGCAGTGACAAATTCAGGCGAACAGGGGCTCCCTGACTTTGGGCACCTCCAAAAGAGACTTGAGTTTAAAGACAACAGACCCTTTATGTGGTCAAACTTTGGTCCCCTCCCCCCAAACCCTCAGTTTCGTTTCCTTTCTGGGCAAACTAGCAGCATGGAATGAGCCTGTGGCTCAAATCTCTTCCACGTGCTAGCTGTGTGACTTTGGGCAGGTCGCTACAGGTTCCTGAGCCTCTCTTCCTTGCCTGAACAGCAAGAATGAGATTCTTGGATTTAGAGGCACAGTTGGTGGTCACTCAGCCCTGGCCCTGAGCCTGCAGCCCTGACCTGTGTCCAGGTCTGAGGAGACAACAGGGCCGGTGGAGGCTGCAGCAGTGGCAGTCATGAGTTCTGGCGTGCTGAGCAACTGTCATCCCCTCCTGCCTCGTTAGCCAAGAGCAGAGCATGGCTCCCAGGAGCCCAGAGCTCCCGAAATCATCCCCTGAGCTTCTGAAAGGAAGGCCCTGGAGCCTAGGCCTGTACCCTGCCAGCCAAGGGCAAGTTCTCCCTGGACAGGTTCATGTCCTCTCCTGCACCACAACCTAGAAATGCCCACAGCAGGAGTGCGGGCTGGGAGGGTTATAATGCATCGCACGACGGAAAGCTACACAGCTGGGAAGATCATGCGGCAGCTATGTATTCACTGGTTCAGAATCGTCTCTCAATTATGTTGTCTGGGGAAAAGCAAAATGCAAAACAGTGTGCATAGTCTTTTTTTTTTAAGATGCATTTAAGCTTGTGTATGTCATAAGTCTCTTGGGAAGGATACAGAGATGTGGGCATCAGGGGTGCCTTGGGGAGGGGAATTGGAGGAGTGGGGGTGAGACTTTTCACTGTAAATCCTAATGCGCTCGGAATTCTGGCCGTGTGCCTGTATTTCTGACTCAGTACTGAGCCCCCTAAACTCCTCATGGCTCTCATGGCCGCACATGAAGTTCGGAGAAACAGGCATCCAGCACCCCAGACGGGGCGCCTCCCACAGGGGAAGGGCAGACAGAGGCCGAGATGTGGAGGAGGAGAGAAGGAACACAGATTTACAGTTTAAAAAATTTAAACTCTTAAATGATGATATATTTTTATAAATAATGACTGAAAGATATTTTAAGTTTCTTTTAAAGCAAAACTAAAGAGCAGGCTGCCTGAGAATACATATAATAATATTGATAATCCTGCTTTGATTTTTTAAATCAACATTTTATTATGAAAAATTTCATGCACACGGTCAATCATTAAGGCTTCTATCATTAATGCGTCTATCATTAACGCTTTCTCCTACTTGCCTTCCTACATTTCTATTCGTTCCCCATCCACTCATCGGTCTTAATTTCTGAATGGATTTCAAAGCAAACGCAGGCCTAACTTCTAAAGGGTCTGTGTATGTTGAACAGAACACCCTGTATTTTGTGTGCAGACTGTAGCAAACTTACATCGGGGCCCTGCCCAGACCCCCTTAGCAAGCTCCTGGGAAGGCGGGCTGCCCACCGCTCACAGTCGCCCTCCTTGTTCTGGAGAACCGCCTGCTGCAGATGGAACCGCCTTGCCCACCAGCTACCTGCAGCCTTCGGCCAATGACTGAGGAGCGTGGGGAGGTGAGGCTGCTGCAAGGTCCAATCTCCTTTCCTGAAGGAGGGACAACTCCAAGATGGGACTTACCCTGCAGAGGCCTCCCCACTGCACCCGGCTCCTGCTTCAAAGCTGGTCAAAGTCAGACTTGACCTCAGGCCACACTCCTGCCCCTTCTCCCTCCTGCTTCTCCCACCCCATGGCTCACAGGCCTCCTCCAGCAGCATCAGCGCCCGAATCCCTATCCCGGGCTCTGCCCCTAGGAAACCTGACCTGAGAAAAGATGTATACAATGAACTTGCATTGTCAGTGCATCAAGGTCAAATTTTGGAAAAGACCCTTTTCTCTGTTCACCTTCCTCCAGGTGGACTCGGAGACAGACTCCTTCCTGTGTATTCTGTTCCGGTGGGCTTGAGAGGTTTCAGCTTCCTTTGCCTGGGCTTGAGAAGCTCTAAGAAGCCGAGCTGAGGCCAGAACCACCTCAGCAAGGGCCCTTAGGGCTGGTCAGCTGCCACCCGGGGGGGAGCTCCGAGACTGGATTCCCAGGCCCTCCCTCTGACCAGGAGCCTCAGCCCCTGTAGGGAAGGTCCTTGGGGTTCAGGGAAATGGACAGAATTGAAATGGGCAGGGGAGGTGGGAGAGGGCTCTCCAGAGCTGACTTTATCTCAGATGGTGCCTTCCTGCTGATTGTAAGAGGCTGCCCCCCCACAGGAGGACATTGGAGTCAGTCTCCGCCCCAAGGGGCGGCTGACTCACCACTTGGAGCCCAGGAGACCGGCCTCTTCTTTCACCGCCACTGGCGCAGACAAGACCTCCCCTCCAGTCGGCAGAGGCCAGAGCCCAAGAGGAAAGGCAGAATCCCAGGGCCACGGGCCGAGTAACAGCCCCACACTTCCCCCCGCCCTGCCCGGTTCCAAGATGGGCATGTCTGTTGTGCCCATTGAATTATGCTGTCACTGTTTAAAATTTTGTCATCAAACAAAAATTCTGTAGCCTAGTTTTCACTTATGTAGCTGAACTCACGAATTTCTGACGTCCCTGTCCATATTCCTAACAGTTACTTTTTTCTCAGAAGCTAAAGGGTAGTACTTGTTCCCCTGGCCACATGGGCCCCGACAGCACACACCTGAGGCTGGGGAGGCTCACAGAGGGACTGAGAACGGGCCCTGCAGTCAGACTTGCTGGGTTCACCTCCCAGCGACGCCTCCTACAGGCTGTGTGACTTCGGGCAGATTCTGTAACCTCTCTGAGCCTCCTCCCCTAACAGCAGTGGGGGGTTACTACAGTCGTGCCCATAAAGCACCCAACACAGTGCCTGGTGCCTAGAAGAACTTAATAAATGGACACATTGTCATCCTCATCATCAACCAGCCTCACCTCCCTACCCCACCCCAAATCATCTGCTAAACTCTCAGGTTGTCTCTTCTCCCTGGGCTGGCCTCTCGGGGTCTGCCCCGTCAGCAGGCGCTGATGGGATCTGCCCGCCCCAGAGCCCATAACTCACTGCTCGCCGTTAGAGCTGAGAGCGAGGGGGAGAGGGGTGCAAATGGGAAGAGGGAGCATTGACCTGAAACAGCTGCTACTGTGCAGCAACACACACTGGCACACACACACTCATGCCTCCTTCCTCGGGAGAGGACGGCCTCTGTAAGAACCATGGGATTCTGTAGTCAGAGACACTCACAGCCTCTTTCCTCACACAGTTGGGGAGCTGGCGGCTAGGAGGATCCACACAGTGAGGCCAGAAGCAGATCAGGGTCCAGGGTCCAATCAGAGTTCCTCCCCCCGCCCAGCCGCCCCTTCCCTGATTCTGGTGATTCTGGTGCTGCTGGTGCAGCCCTGCTCCCCTTCCCAGGCACAGGGAAGGGGAGGTGCCTTCTGGGTATAAATAGCTGATGGAGATGCTTCTCTCCAGCAAGAGGGTTAACCCTTGGGGTCCTGGGCACAGGAAGACGCTCCCTGGGAGCAAGAAGCAGTGGCGGCTGCAGAGTTGGAACGCTCCCCAGAGGGCACCTAGACCTTGCCCCTGCAGGTGTGCACTGTGAGCCAGCAGCCTCGGAGCATGCTGGACATGCAAAATCTTGGGCTCCACCCAGATCCCAGACCTGCTGAACCGGAATCTACCTGGTAACAAGGCGCCCAGGTGGTTCACACAGCCCTCTCCTTTTGAGGATGGAAGAAAGTGGTTCAGAGAGGGTCATGCTCCTACCAAGGTCACACAGCCATCTCCTGACAGAACTATATCTAGAAGCTGTACTCCTTCCCCTCATGACTCAGAACCCTGATGGGCAGGTACACAGCCCTCACCCCACGCCCCCGACTATGCAGGAGAGGGGGAGGGGACGTCAGGCCTGCACCCAGTCTATCCCTGGGGCAGGGGCCGCCTTTCAACTTGCCTCCAAGGGGCAGGCCAGCCACCGGTCTAGGCAGGCGGGCAGGACCACCGTGCCAGGCTGACTCAGCATGGGGGTGGGTTGGGCATGTGGGCTGCGCTGGTCAAGGCCAAGCTTGGCCTATTTTTGTCTCTCTGAAGAGATGAAAGGCTTCGGGAGTTTTCCTAGAACAGCTTTTCTGAAGGAGGCTGCTGGCAGCACGGGCTGTGAGGAAGGGCTCCTTCTTCGCCTTCCCCCCAACCAAGCTGGTCTCTGAGGAAGGTGGAAAGACATCTCTGCCACTGCCATCCCCAGAGAAGTGAACAGCTGATTTCCCACCCCATCAGCACAAGACCACCAGGGTGGGCAGGGGAGCGGGGCAGCCCCACCCTGCACCCCTCACTTGTCCCCTAAGAACTTACCGATGTTGGGGTGCTTCAGCAGGCGGCAGATGCGAGCTTCACGCTCCAGCTTCTGATGGTCTGAAACAACCAGATGCTCAGGTGAGTCCGAGGTTGGGGAGGAACCTCCACCCTCTCCATCTCTCCCTCCTACTGCTTCTTATGATCTCCACCTCCCAGGGCAGCCCCTGGGCCCTGGACAAGCTTGCCTTTCAGGCAGGGCCTCTGGGTTGTCCAAGGAGAGAGTGAGGTGCAGCAGAAGAGGGAGAGGACAGGGCTACAAAGAGGCAGAAGTCCCTTCCTCTCTCTGGGCCTCAGTCTCCAGGGTCCTCCAATGAAGCATGTCCCTGAGCCCCTGCCTGTATAAGACCCAAACTCCAGGAGGCCAGGAGCGCCCTGCAGGCCAGGCTCCTGCTGCCCTCCTCCAGCCCTGCCCCTCACATGGCGCTCCAGCCAGACAGAACTGCTCATTTCATTTGCCCAGATTACACCCAGCTCAGCCCCGCTCCCGTCCAGACCCCCACACACCGGTTCTCTCGGCTTGGAACACTCCCACTCCACCTCCAGCACTGGTCCTCCACTGGCCAGCACTCACTCCTACCCATCCTTAGATGTCACCCTCTCCAGGCAGCCTGCCCTGATTGCCAGGCTGGCAGGGGCCCCTCCGCTGTGCTCTCATCCCACTCTGTCTCATTGCTATCTCTACCCTGGAGGGCGGGACTTGGTCTCTGCTGTGCTCCTGGCCTCTACTCAAATGCCTGGCACATTGCAGGTGCTCAAAACTAACTGAATGGAAGAACAGATGATAAAATGAGTGAGCCTTTCTAAGGGGGCGGCATTCTCTGCAGAAGAGCTGTACCAGTTTGCAGAGGCCACCTCCCTTGTAGAGGACGCAGAGAGCCCTGAGGAATCTGCAGGGCAGACCTGGCGTGCGGCTCACCCCGGGCTCTCACACCTGCCTTCCGGGACATCTGTCCAGATCCCCTGGGTCTCCCCACCCACCTGGGAGAGAGCCCTGGTTCAGGATCTGCCACCTGTGGCCTCGGACTCCGAGGCTGCCGGAAGGAGTCAGGCCCCACCCTGTCCTCCCAGCAGCCCTGGCCGTGGGCGTCACTGCCCCCATTTTTATAGATGAGGAAACTGCAGCCTCATCGGTGGCAGAGTTGGGACTGAAAATGTATTGCCCAATTCCCTTCCTGGTGCTTGTCTCACAGGCCTTAATTTAAAAAAGAAACAGTAGAACAGGAAGCATTTATGAAGGTACAATGTTTACCGCATGCTCCTTGCTGCGCAGAGAGCTTTATGTGCACCTCAGGCCCTCTCTACAACCCTTTGAGGGAGGTGTGATTACTGCTGGCTTTTAAGAGGAAGAACCAGAGCTTCCGGGAGGGTAAGTCCCTGGCCCACCGTCACACCTGCAGTGAGCAGCGGAGCCAGGCTTCGTACCCAGGCAGCCAGACTCCACGGCTGAACTTCAAAACCCCGAGCAATGCTGTTCTCCGCGCCCTGACAAATCGCCACCACCTCTCCGTGCCCCCAGCTCTCAAATGGGAAAACCGAGGGCCACTGGCGGGTTCTCGCTCAGACACTCGTGGGCAGAGCTAGGACTAGAAACCTGGTCTCCCAATGGCCTCTTCAGAGCAGGTAGGTGCCAGGGAGGGTGATGAGGATGGAGAAAGACCCAGCCCCCGTCCTCTTTCCCTGCCCCCTTTATTAGAGCAATCACTGGCCACCCTCCAAGGGCTGCAGAAGCCAAGATCGATACTGAAACGTGGCTTTTCTGTCAGCCAAGCGATGACATCTAATCGAGTTTTCATAGAGTGCAAGATCAACTTCCCAGCCAAAGACCCACTATAGGCCAAGGAGGGAGGGTGGACCCAGCGGTATCCCCCTAATACCGGGTCCCTCCCTGCCTCCTTGCATATCCTTTAGGGTGGGGGCAAGGTCAATTCCAGGGCAAAGGAGGGGAATCCCCATGGACTGGCTGAGGTTCCTCTGTGGGCTGAGGAAGGCTGGGTCCACCCCCTCCTCCATCCCCTGTCCCTCCACTCCCTCCATCCCCAACAGAACCAGAAATTGGGCAGGTCCAAGTTAGACCTGTTTGAGGGGGCTGGGGGCCTTCTGGCTTAGGCCACAGGTGGGGAGGGGCGGATTCAGAATTCTGGCGTCTTCTCCACATGATGTTTCCAGGAACAGAATTAGACTGACAGGGATGGGAGAAGAAAGTGCTGGTCACACCGCTTCAAACTTATGCATGGTCACCAGACCCGCAGCTGGAAATGCTAGGAACTAATTGCTTTTATAAATCTTATAATCGTCGTGTGCATAGTACAATTACACTGCATTGCAACTTTCAGTGCCGAAAGCATTCGTTTATTGAATGGAAACACACACATTACACAATAATTTTTGTAACTCTGAGATATTTTGACTTTCTAGTACTATACAGGGAACCTCAAGAAATGCAGGGGTTGTATTTGTGCTGACCTCTGAGGCCTTGCTCTGTTATGTAGGTGGGGGAACCACAGCGGCGAAGGAGCAGCCCCTTCACTCATCAAGATGGTCCGGCTGTATTAGAGCTCAGAGCTTCAAGAATTCACTCCTGCACACCCCCTGACCCCCACCTAGCAAGTCCTGGGCAGCCAAGGAGCTCTTATTAAAATATGAAATAGATCCTGTCACTCCTGGACTTCAGACTCTCCAACAGCTTCCCAATGTACTCGTAACCCCATCCAGACCCCTCATTAGACCCTGCTGGGTCCTGCCTCATCTTGGCCTTGAAGCTCCAGCCCCACTGGCCTTAGTTCGGGCCTGAGGCACACTGAGCCCTCCCCACCTCAGGGTCTTTGCCCTTGCCACACCCTCTACCTGGAGTGCTCTCACATCCTGGGTCTTCCCATGGCCTCCTTCTCCTTTTCCCCTGAGGGTCCCTCGTGCCCCACCACTTCCCCGAGACCCTGCCTTATTTCCTTCACAACACTCATCGCTTCCTGGGATTACCCAGCCCATCTGTGTGCCCCGTGCTCCTTCCACCTCCCGTCCTAGGAAGCAGGTGCCATGAGAGCAGGACCTGGTCTGTCGGTCACTGCCATGTGCCCAGGGCCCGGAGCCCAGCTCATCGAAGATCCCATACCTAAGCGGTGGCTGAGCTGGGATCTCAATCCATGTTCACAATTACTATACCACGTTGCCTCCATTCCAATAACTAATTAATTGTCAGATCAACCCATCTAGCTCGGTGGAGTCCCACGACGGGGAGAGGTCTGAGGAAGCAAGTCGGCAGCCCCCAGCCTGGGCACCTGGAAGGATCACCCCCGATGCCCACAACATACCTTCTGAACTTTCACCCTCCCTCCCCAGGTTTTTGGGGGCCCGCCCTGCCCAGAGCGCAGCAGGTAGGGGTGGGGGGAAACTCTGGGGGCAGGTTACTGGAGCCAGGGGGGCAGGGTGGGCAGAGAGGTCGGAGAGGGGGTGTGGAGAGAGCGCGGTCAGGAAGCTTGGAGGGCCCTCTGGCAACCGAGGGGCTAGGTTCCAGCAGGCAGGTGGGCTCTAGGGGATGGGGGAGTTCCAGCGGACAGGTGGCCAGCAGGATCTGACCAGAGGCCCAAGAACCAGGAGAGAATATAGGCCTCCTGGTCTGGAACAGCAAATGCCCCACCCTCCACGGGGCCTCCACAGGGCTGCAATCCCGGGAGGCTGGGTAAATAATTCTGAGGACTGAGAGTGCCAGGCAGGGGCGGGGAGAAGGATGAGGAGGACAGGAAAGATGTCTTCCTGCCCTCTCACAGGCTCCCTCACGTGGACCTGAGGCTCGGGGGCAGCCTGAGTGAGCCCATGCTGTGCCTCCCACCCGGAGTCCTGAGAGTGGTCACCAGGGAGCCGAGGAAGGGACCCCTCAGTGCCAGGATGGACATTGGAGCCTGTGGAGGTCGCTGTACCCAAACCAGTCACCTCCAGCTGCACCAGCCACACCGAGTGCCGGCAAGGTTTCGTGTGTGCCTGGTGCGCGGGGGCTGGAGAGTGCACAGAGCCCCCGGCAGGGAGGCAGCGCCCAGCCGACACTCAGGTCAGGAGTTCGTCAATGCAGCCCCTCCGGCCTCCCCTGCTGAATCCAGCCCTCCGGGGTGGAACCGCATGGGGCAGCCGCGTTTTTTATAAAGGTGCCCGAGGGGGGTTGGCAGGGATTGGGACAGGCAAAATTTTTACTTTTCGCGTCATGTCTATATGGTTTCTTGGAAGTGTTTATTTCATGAGCATTTTATTTAAAACACTCGTTTAAAAATATGTCCAAAAAAATATCTCCTGGGTTTGGGAACTGCTGGGTAGAAGAGGCTCCCCGGGTGGGAAAGAGGAAGCTGTAGCTCCCTGGGGGTTGGAAAGACGCCCCGAGCGGGCATGCCCCCCCGACTCCCAGAGCTGCCAAAGTCACCCGGGTGTGCCAGCAGGAGAAGCTTAGAGTGTGTTGCCAAATATTCCATCTCAAGCCACTCCCCACCCCAGGCACCTTGAGTGGCAAACAAAGAAACCAGCTAAAAAGAGCTCCGCTCTCCTCTCCCGCGGGGGAGAAGGCTCTGACAGTTGGCAGGCTGCTATGGGAAGGTTCCCCTTAGAACATCTCCACTCCCTTCCTCCACACTCACCTAGGCCCCGGCCACCTTCCTCCCTGGAGCCCACCAAATCGCCAAAAACAGGGGGCATGGCGGTTCCTGGCCGGCACAGCCTACTGCATACACTGCCCAGGAGTGCTTAGTCACCTCCCGAAAAAGAGGCAGTGCCTCTCCGCTCTCCCCCACGTGTGTGTGTGTGTGTGTGTGTGTGTGTGTGTGTGTGTGTGTGCTGAGCTGACCCAAGACCCCCAGCATCAAGGAAGGACCTGGCTTCCTCCTTCGAGGTCAACCTCAACCTGTCACCCTGAGTCGTGGCTCTCGTCCTCCCCACCTTTTTCAAGGGTTGGGACATCTCCTTTGCTCACAAGAGACGCAGAGCAGAGAGAAGGCCCCAGACAGCCACCTGTCACACAGCAACAGCGAGGCCAGTCCCAGCATCGGGGTTCGAGCTCTGGCCAGCCGTCCTGCCACTCTGGCCCCGCCCCTGCCTCTGGCTCGAGCCCTGTCGCAGGTGTCTCCCTTTCACACTGATTTGCATGCTGACCATGGGACACTGGGGACCCTGGGCCTTCCCAGAACGCCCACTCCCGCCCCCAGCCTCTCCCCCTGCAGGACACCGGCTGCCTACAGGGCAGTTCAGTAACTAAGACGAGGTGCTGGGCTGCCGACAACACTGATCCAGGGAGATGAAAAGCAGCAACACAAGGGCCGACATGGGGCCTGCTGGAAGGCCCGTGGGGCACGGCGTGAACATCCTCTGCCAGCCTCCGTGAACCTCACACCTGCCGGGCCCTGACCCAGACGCAGCTGCTGCCTGTGCCAGGCAGACACCTGGACACTACACCAGCCCTGCCCACAGCGCCTCCCACACGGCACAGGCCACGGGCTGCTTGGGCCGCACCTGTGCCAACCCACCCACCAGAATTCCCTCCACCTCCCAGTGGTCTCCCAAGGCCACTTACACACTGTCCAGACCAGGGACTGAATCTTTGAAGACAAGCCTCCCCGACACACTGGCCATGGTCACCACCGTTACTGCCCTAGTCCCATGCTAACGTCAAGAAGCAAGACTTCCAAGCAGGCTTCCCAGGCTTTAGAGTCCACACGAATCACTGGGCTGTCTTGTGGAAAGGCAGACTCTGATTCCTTAAGTCTGGAATCAAGAATCTGCATCTTAACCATCTCCTGGTGACGCTTCTGCTGCTGCTCTAGGATCACTTCCAAATTAAAGTTCCCTGGGGATCTTTTCCAACTCCCAAGTCACACACCAGGCTCATTAAATCACAGCCTTTGGGAGCAAGAGCTGGGCAGCAAGTGTTTGAAGCTCTCCAGGGGATTCCAGTGTAAAGACAGGTTTGGAAGTCACTGTACTAGGGAGTCTTAGGGACCAGAGTTCAGCCTGGTGTGGCTGAAGTAGAGAACACAGAGTTCCCTGGACACTGGCTGAGCACCTAGGACGCACAGGGCGCTGTCCTAGGTACTGAACATATCACAAGGAATGAGACCCATCCTTACCCTCTTGGAACTTCAAGTCAAGAGGAAAGATGGGTGTTAAACAAGGAACCAAGCCAGTAGATACGTTAAGTCCAAGTTGGCAGAAAGCCACAGGAAAGTAAACAGTAATGAGATGTAAAACGGGGGAGACTCCCCCAGATTTGGAGGTCAGGGGAGCCCCTCAAAGTAAGTAACATCAAGCTGAGACCTGAGGTTGAGAAAGAGCCAGCCTTGTAAGGAGCCAGGTGAGGGCATCCAGGCAGAGGACACAGCAGGAGCAGAAGTCTGGAGGTGAGAATGGGGGTGAGTGGCAGACAAGCAGGGAAAGGAAGTCCCACCTAGCACCTTAGCCTTCGGCTGGGTGTCAAGGCAGAGAGCTTGCCCTCAGAGAGGCTGTGACCTCCAGCCTAGATTTCTTAAGGAGGGAAAAAGGAAGAGTCCGTTCACAATACCCACAGGAAGAAGAGCTCTCATGCCTGCTGACAACACTGCCCATGGGGTGCTGGTTCCAGACTCAGGTCCTGGTTGTAAGCCAATGAGTAGAGGGAAGGGTGAAGGGAAAGAGAGCCCCAAGGGTAGGAAGCCATGGATTCCCCACCTACCTCTGGCCGAGAGTTTCTTGGTGTTGATGATCTTGGCAGCATACTCCTGGCCAGCCAGCACCTTCACACACCTGCGCACGACCGAGAAGGCTCCCCTAGGAGGACAGAGAAGGCAAAGAGGGTGAGGGCGGGCCCCAAGGGCTGTGTCCCCAGGAGACGCCGGAGTCCTTGAAGCTGCACCGTGGCAGGCAGGGAACCCTCTTTCAGGGCTTCTCAAGCTCATAGAGACTGCTGTGGCCAACTCAGGGACAGAGCAGGGCCACGGACCCAGGGGAACCCCTGGTGGAGGGTTATTAGAAGCTCGGCCTGACAAGAGATGAGCCTTCCAGAGTCTAGGACATTAGGCCCTCCCAACTATAAAATATTAGAATCCAGTCATGTCAGAATCACAGACACTAGTCCCTGAAAGGTTTTAGTGTTTTTGTTCTTTGAATAGGTAACACATTGACGTGGTTCAAAGTTCAAAAGATACAAAAGACTTCTTCTCACCCCTGTACCCCAGACTCCAAGGTCCCCTCCCGGAGAGAGCCATGGGCACCTTCCCCCACACAAGTGTACCTGGACCTTACAAGCTGCTCTGCATCCTCCATTTTCTTTTTTTTTTTAAGATTTTATTTATTTATTTTTAGAGAGGGAAGGGAGGGAGAGAGAGAGAGAGAGAGAGAGAGAGAGAGAGAGACATCAATGTGTGGTTGCTGGGGGTCATGGCCTGCAACCCAGGCATGTGCCCTGACTGGGAATCGAACCTGCAACACTTTGGTTTGCAGCCCACGCTCAATCCACTGAGCTACACCAGCCAGGGCTGCATCCTCCATTTTCCAGTAAGTATTTTGGTGAGCCTCCTTTCATTCCACAAAGAGCTCTTAAATATGACGTCTTCATGACATCATATTTAATCACGTGCCCATCCTGTGATTCACCTAGCCAATCTCCTGTCGATGGGCAATTGGTGAGTTCCAACCTGTAGCTATGACAAACAGCGCCACAGCGGCTGACCTCACGTGTGTGCAAGCACAGCATTTCCCACGTGTGCAAGTGTTTGTGGGTGAATTTCTAGAGCCTCTGTTGTTTGGTCAACGGGTAGATGTGGTTTGGAAGTTTCGGTAGATAATGAGAGATTTTCTGTCTTGGAGATTGTATCAACTTAGGAGGAAGGGACCATGTTCCTCCACTCTTTTCTGCGTGGCCTGTTATCAGACTTTCTTGTCTTTGCTAGCGAGACAGGTGGCAAGTGGCAGCTCGGTGTAGAACTGATTTGTGATTCTCATACTGAGAGTGAGCCTGGGCATCTTGTTCTGTGATTTAGGATGTTACTGAGATTTTATTCTCAAAGTATTGGTGGTTGGAAGAAAACCTGAAGCAAGTATTTATGTGAAATTTCTCCATTTTAAAATATTGGCTCCTTATTTTTTTAAAAAAATGTAAACATAATATCTGGCCAAACAGAGCTAGTTTGAGGGCCAAGTCTGGCATCTGGGTGCCGTGTTGCACCCTCTACCACAAACCCCCTCATGTCTCAGGGGAGGCCCCTGAGGGGCTGGACAACAACCAGGGTCACCAACATTACCACCCTAACCATCAGTGAATGGCAAGAAGTCAGTCCGAGGGGCAGGCTCCCCCATGTTTCAGGGCCATACAAATTACCCAGGTGTCTGGCTAAAAGGCAGATTTTGACTCCTCCCACCTGGAGTGGAACTCAAGCCTCCGAGCTCCAGCACAGCTCGGTGTGGATCGCTGAAGGCCACACAGCTAGTTCCAGGCAGGGCCGCAACTAGAACTCAGGTATCTGCACTCCCAGGTTTTGGGGTTCTCCCCCACCGGTGGGCCCGCACATCCAGGCTCCTGCTGTGGGCATGCCCCATTGTATTCTCCAAACTTCAATCCCACTGCTAAGCATACGAGCAAGTCCAAGCCACCAAGATGAGGCTGAGGGGAACAGGGGAGGGCGCTGGCAGGCACCGAGGAAGCCTGCAGGCTGGCACAAACACCCTTTCTGCACACGCCCTGGGCATCACGTTGCTGGCTTTGTGTCTGGTCAGCAGGAGGGGACTGGTGGGAAACTGGAGAAAAACAAGGAAGAGAGAGTTGCCAGGTGGCTGGAGATTAGGAAAGGTGGCCTGGTAGGAAAGCTGGAGAAAGCCAGAATTTATGGGCAAAAGACAGTCTCGCACAGCGACAGACCCTCCCCAGGGTGCACAACCCCTGCCTGTCCCTTCACCTGGAGGAAAGCAGCAAGAATGGTCACCCTCCCTGAGAAGCCTCCCGTTACTGGGCCTCTTGCTGGCACTCCCGACACTGAGTACCTCCCCGGTTGTCTCTCCCACCTGACAGTGAGTTCCCCTGGGGCCAGGACTTGAACTTTTTTTTCCACGCCCCCATGCCTGGGTACTCAATGTCTGCTACCAACTGGGACCCCATAGATGTCACTCGCAGGAACAGGAGGTAGATTTAAGCAACAGTGAGAGGGACTGGAAGGAAACAGGGGAGAGGACTTGCAGTGAAAGTTGCTAGGAAGAGGAACAGGTGTCTGAGGAAGGTAGAACCCAACAGGTCTACAAAGGTGCTCATGCTGCCCAGACGGGGGGCTGGACCCGAAGACCTTCAGGTCCCCGCGCAGGTCCCTGCCCAGCCAGGACTTTCAAAGGCCCCGGGAGAGAGGATGATTCATGGGGCCACTTCTGGGAAGGGTTCTGAGAACTCCAAGCAGAGAAAGGGTGGGGAGGAGGGAGGCTGTGAGCTCCTAAGTGCAGGGCGAGGCTTGGCCCTGCCCACCAGCACCCAGTCCATGCTCGGTCCGAGCTGGGGTTTAATTAATGTGAGGAAGGGAGGGAGGGAGATAATTTCTCCAATAGAGAAATAAAACTCCATTCTAGGTAAAGACCTTAAATCGATGGTTATCACACTGGCTGCTTCAGAATCCCTTGGGAGGGGAGGGTCTTTAAAAAATACCTATTCTAAGGCCCTGTTCAGACCTACAAAATCAGAACCCTTGCGTGTGGGCCCAGGGAATCTGTATTTTAATTTAACACACTCTCCCAGCCAGCTCGGCACTGCCCACCTCCCGGGAAAGTCCTGCCTGATGCCCACCCCACCCTGGAAGTCAGCACTGACAGGAGGTCACTGGGGTTCTGAGTGCGGGGGCTCCACAGGCCCCACAGCCTGGCTCTGTTCCAGGAGCTCAGGTCCCAAGAGCCCCGCCTACAAACTGGGAGACGTGCTAACTTCCTCCTCAGAATACAGCCCCGAGATGCTGAGTAAATCCCAGGTTCTCACTCAAGGTCCAGACCGTGGGTGGGAGGCCACAGGGGTCCTGTCCCCGCGAAGGACATCCTGTGCCTGTGAGTGGGCATATGTGCATTTTTTTTCCTGGAGCAAGGATGCCTGGCTTTTAACAGATGCTCAGAGGGAGGAGTTTGTCAAAACCAGTTCAGAGCTACAGATGCCGAGGATGCCAGCCTCCCCCTTCAATGCACGGTCACCACTAAGCTCCTTCCGGGCCCTCACAGCTGGGGAATTCTGATCGCCCGTTTAACAGATCAGGACACTGAGACCTCAGTGAGCGAGCATATTGCTAGTGAGGCCAGGTCACCTGCACGTGCTCCTCCGACTCCACCAAAGGCAGGAGAGTGTGACCCTCATGAGTGGGGGCTCTGGGCTCACAAAGCCCCATGGTCCAATCACGACTCACTCCAACTGTGTAATGCTGACCCTGGTGCTGCACCTCTCTGTCCTCTCCCATGCAATGGGGCAGTAATAGCCTCTACCTCCTTCCTGGCTGTGTTGGGGAGGTTAAGGGAGACCATTCCCACAAAACCCTGGGCACAGTGCCAGGCACAGAAGACCTCCAAAGGGGCGAGGAAGGGCCTGAGCCAAGGAGCCCCTCTCTCTACCTGTGCAGCCTCAGATCCTCATCCACAGAGGGAGGCTCCTCCCCTCCTGCCAAAGTGCTGAGGCCAAGGACACGAAGGGCAGGGGGAAGTCTGCAGCAAAAATGAGAGCGGGGGCAGCAAGCCTGCTGCCCTAACTTGCTTCTCTCTTATCTGCTGTTGGAAAAGGGCATTTTTCTGCAGTCTCATCCTACATGAGCGAGTGGCCACAGCGCAGCTGCCTTGGCAAGCAGAAGAGCCAGCCCACTCCTCCCCCGGCCCTGAGCTGAGCAGGTGGCCAGCAAGTGGGTGGGCAGGAGCTTGGAAACAGGACAAAGTGTGAGAGGGGAGGAGGCCCAGGTGGGGAGGGCAGGGCGGAGGGAGTGACCAGGGCTCCCAAGAGGAAGGGATGAAGCCTGCATGGGAGGGCCCTACTGAGTGTAGAGAGTAGGAGGCAGGTCCTGGGAGTGCCTGTGAAATTGTTTCTGGGTGCAAAGGGCTCAAGGAGACAGGTCTGCCCACCGGTGTGTGTCAGCAGCCCGGCCAATGCCCTGGTGTAGGGTATGCCTGGTGCCCCTGAGTGTGATGGAGCACAGACGCGTCACCCCAGGTATGAAGCATGTGGCCACGTCATTCAGAGGGTCACAGAAAGTGGGCAGGGAGAGGCGAGGGTGTGAGACAGACAGACAGACGCTGGACAGACAGAATCTCAGGCCTCAGCCATGCTGGGAGGCCTTGGGCAGCAGTCTGCAGCGGTGTGGCCTCGGTTTCCTCATCCGCAGCATGGGGTGGGGTGGGGAGGAGGCTAAACAGCAGAGGCCTTTCCACCTTTAATCGTCTATACCAGCACCGTCCAGCAGGACTCTCCGTGATGATAGAACTCGTCTGTGCTGCCCAGTGTGGCAGCCACTGGCCTCAGATGACGAGAGCACTTGAAATGTGGCTAGGAGGGCTGACAGACAGAACTTGTAATTCTCTCATTTCAATAGAGGGATGTGGCTAATGGCCTCCTATTGGAAAGTGAAGTTCTATGCAGATAACAGCAGGCTTTCCAGAACCAGACCAACCGAAGTTCAAATCATGGTTCAGCCGCTTCCTAGCAAGTTCCTTAACCTTGGGAAGCCTCTTTCTTCCCCTGTAGGATTAGATAAGAACAACGCCACCCCATGTGGCTTCTTCAGGGATTCAAGGAGAAAATAAGGTGTGCACTGTGTTAGCACAGTCCCTGG